CCCCCCTCTCTTACCCCCGCTGTTCCATCCACGGAGCTGTTTTCCTTCCTTCTCAACATCCTCTCCATCTTGATTCTAAGCATTCAGGGTTTTTCCACCCAACCCCACGTTTTTTTAACTTCTTACATTTACCTCTCCCTTCTTCTGTCGACACGAATGGACCTGATGCTTCTCTCTAAGGCTATCTCCCCCCTTTGTTGTACTAATTCCTGTTTCCTGTCTTAGATAATTTGGTAGTTTTTGGCATTTTGGCTTTGAGCTGCTTGCTTCCGTTCCCAGATTCTCTTTGCGTGCTGGTGCTCTGCACCCGGGTATTCGCTCTTGTCGTCATTTCCAATCTAGCCCTCCATCCAGTGTCACCATTGCCTGCGCGCGGTACATGTTATCGGTCCCTAGAACAACGAGCATACGGCATATTTATCCTTCATCGTTCTTCCCGTTTCCTCTCTAGGGGCTACAGTCCTCATATATTCAATGAAAACTGCGTAGTTGGATGACTGTGCATAGGTCAAAGATCCGGAGAAATAAATGACAACATGTGGCCTGCTGCACGTCGACCTCATGGCGGTTCAAGCATGGTGGGCCACTTCAATAACTCGGCATTGATGCTGGCGAGATAATTGAGCTTCGGAACCAGCCCCTGGCAACAGCCTGGACATAGCAAACAGTTCCTATCTTCAACCGTGATGTTCACAATATTACTCAATGGACAAATCACAGACACATCCAATACAACGCCAGCACGGCCGAAAGCCTTTGCAACTTCACCATCGGGTTTGAAAGCCTACCTGACCATCGCCAGGACACTTATGAAAGATGGGTTATCAGGATATGTTTGTGGCGACATCACATCTTGAAAATATATGTCCGTTCTGAGGCTGACAATTTGCTTACCTATCAGGGGCTGACCCAGTACCATGGGCTCGGAGTACTCGACGTCGTGTCCAAAAGCCGGAAACTCAGAGTTTTGATTCGAGGATATATTCATAACACTCTCTATGTTACTTACGTACAGCAGCCCCAAGCTCAAGTTGACTCCACATGGTTGCGAGTATCCAATCAATATGCGCCCCAGCCTACCGGACGAGTTCTAAACTATACCAGCTGCCACCTGGCTCGGGTCCGACTATGTGAACGACCTGGGGGTGGATGAGAGCAGATACGAGCGACATCCAGATGGCCGATATATTGCTTGAGCATCTACGGTCTTGGGTTTCGAGTACCCAGTGCTATCAGATTGTCTAATCCTTGTATTCCTTTGCCTTCGGATGTGTTAGATGTCATAGGATACGGGATGACATTTTTGCAATTCTAACTGGATAAATGGATTTCATTTTAAACTCGCCGAAGAGTACAAGTTAACACTGAGTCTCCACCGGTAGAAAGTTACGTGAAGATCAAGAACTTGGCATTGTCGGCATCGCTTTTGTGACCAAGGATCAGTAATTCCATCTCAAACGAGGGAAATATATATTCAAGAAAACTCATCGCAGGCCAAGCAAATGAGCAGTTTTAGGCCAACCGAAATTAATACCACGGTGATATATACAGTACATGTTCAATCTTCGATCCGTCAAATGTTCAGTAGACGTAACGGAAGGAGGGATTCTCCTTATCAGTGAGCCCAGCCCACTTGGTGTCGTCGAAGTTGTTCTCATCCACGGCCTTTGTCTGGTCTCTTTGGCTGTTTTGCCACTTGTAATAGAAGAAGAGCACCACAGATAGTACAGCCGCCGCAGCCTGGGTTGCAAGAACAGCAATCTTGGCCGGTCGGTATTCAGGCGCATCGCGTGCCTGGAATGTCTGAGGGCCAATGATGTTTCCGACCGAAAAAGACCCAGCAACAAGCGCACTAGCAAATGCACGCTTGGTATGTCCAGCGCAGTTGGCCATGGTCCACTGGTATAGAATCGGAAGAGTTGCTACGATTGCGTTGACAAGATAAATACCGATCAGGACACCGGCTTTGTTGTGCTTGGGCAAGAAGGATAGTAATGCGCCGCCGATGATTCCAGGAATGGTACAGAGCACATTCCATGCCCAGCGATTGGAAGTTTGCCGGATGCCAAAACCCACGAGGAGAGTGAAAAAAATACTAACGATACCTCCCGGAGTATTGAGAAGCGCTGAGATGGGACCCGTGAAGCCAAATCCGGCAATGAGAGTCGCGGAATATGTCGTCACCACACCACTTGACACGGAGATCTATGCAATATTGGTTAATAAAACTGCAGGGGATATTTTGGAGTAAGGGGTAAAAGTGGGAATGTGAGACACACCAAAATAGTAATCACAGTCAGGAGCCACAGCTGAACATCAAGTACTGCTTCCCAGATTTGTTTCACATTCAAAGTTGTACTCCATACTCCAGTCTGGTTTTGGCTGACATGTTGAAGCAGTGCAACCTTTTCGCTATCAGTCAACCAGGGTGCCTTCATCGGTGTATCTGGAATGAAGAAAAATGTGAGACCGCCGACAACAGCTGTCACCAACCCGAGAACAAGGAACATAATCCGCCAACCCTCTAGTGAGGCATGATGCACATGTTGGAATCCAAATGAAATCAGACCACCAATTATCTGGGCTACACCAAGACCCATGTACCATATAGTGAACCGAGGAGCTTGTTCACTTTTGGTGTAGTACTGACTGCTGATAAGCATCAGGGATGGTCCCACTGTCGCTTCAAAGATACCCAGGAAAATTCGTGCTGCCAACAGGCTCGGATATCCTCGGGCGCCAGAGGAAGCGGCAGCTGCGATTCCCCAGAAGAAAACATTTCCACCGAGCCATTTAGCAGGGGGTACTTTTTGTAACAAATACACTGAAATTTGAGACTTAGCGGTGACAAACAAAGAAATTGGCGACAGAGAGATAAATCAAGAAACTCACCATTAGGTACTTCTGCGATCAAGTAAGCAATGAAAACCCATGTGGCAACGTTAGAGAATTCATTGCCGGCAAGTTTCAAGTCTTTTTTGATCCCCATAACAGCTGCATACTGTATCCACATCCTTGCATTAATAACATGGCGCATACGGCGGGATTCAAAGTCAAACTCACGTTCAGCATGACCTTGTCCAAAAACTGAAGGACATAGCAGCAAAACATATAAGGCATCAAACGTAGATCAATTTTACGACGTAAAGCCCGCAGATCGACTTGAGAGTCCAGCGCCTCATTTTCATGGCCCTTGAGATATACCACAGCATCATCAACTCGATTTGCGTGAGGTTGCGGCACCACCTCTGATTGGATTTCACCCATCGCGACTGGGCTCAATAGGGAAATAGACAAGGAATGTAGTTAATGGGAAGTTGTGAAAGGAAAAAGAAAGGAAAATAAGGGAAGCTCGTTAAAAGGTTAGTGGAAAAAAATAGTGGGAAACACAATGGATTCATGCGACAAAAGCATAAATAACGTCGCAACCACCGTGGAGATCGCGTGGCTACACGTAGTGCCACCTGGCAACGAATTAAAATCGATAGTCTAAGACGCTAGAAACTTGCCATATTAGGAACTACATGAAGTTTAGTTTATGAAAGGGGTGAGTTAAACATCAAGCTTGTGATAAGATTGGAGGAACAACCTTGCAAGACCGGGATAGTACGGAGTCCGAAGTGAGGAGCACAAAGTACCGGCATTATCGGTATTAATTCTAAACAGGAAATTGCTGTGGGACGAGCATTTTTAGAATTATTTTGGGATTTTTGGGATTTTTTATAATTCTTGTGCAGAAAGAAATCTGTTCTATCTGCTTACCCTGGTCGACACTTGATTATGTTCTCGTTTATACTCTCCCCTATACCCTTTCGTACGTTTTCTCCTCAACGATGGGCTGGGTACACAATGCCTCGCCCGAGGTAGAAGCTGCATCGCAGTACCCTCTTATTCTTGGAGTATGTTTGAGTCTTACCATATTAATGGTTTTCACCGTTTGCCTGCGACTTTTCCTTCGAGCGCGAGCCAGTCGTTGGGCAGCAGCAGACTATGTGATGGTTGTTAGCATGGTAGGTTAATCTGTGTGTCATTCAAGGGATAATACAACTGATTCTTGAGTAGGTCTTTGGTATTATATACAGTGCACTCTGCATTTCTCGTGAGCACCCCTAGATCTCTCCCGTAGCCGCAGGAGACTTACTAACATTCACAGAGAGTCGATATGGACTAGGACTGCCGTTGAAGCAACGACCGGGAGCAGATTTTCCAACATATTCCAAGGTCAATATCCTTTTTCTTCATTCCAGTTTGCCGCTTGGTGGTTATTAATTCGATTGACAAACTGACAAAAAGCCAAATAGATCAACTACGCGGGACGTCCTTTTTACCAACTCGGCATCGCTGGTTTTAAGGCTTCGCTTTGCCTCAGCTATCTGCGATTGATCTCAGGAACCTCAAAGCGTCATTATCGAATTGTCATTTGGATTGTGATTGCAGCGTCTACGTTAGGTCACCTCGCTGGCGCGCTTAGTTTGCTCTTCAATTGCACACCGGTAGGAAGAGCCTCCACCAGGGCCGCGCGCGACCACACGCTGACAACTATTCGCCCACAACAGATCCGAAAATCATGGAACATTCGTGTACCAGGCAAATGTCTTCCCGTGGGAGGGCTATTCTACGGTCTCGCGATTTACACCATCATCACAGATGTGATCATTATTGTGCTCCCCATTCCGTTGCTCCTCGGTCTCAATATCAAACTCGCACAAAAGGCCGGTGTTGTGTGCCTTTTCCTCCTCGGTCTCTTCACCACAGTCTGCTCCATCATGCGACTAACCCAAATTCAACGTGTGGCGTTCGGAGACGGGAACTCAACAATGCTTGTGTTGTGGGGAACGATTGAATTCAACGTGGGCGTAAGTGAAAGATGATCACTTCCGTGCGAACTATAATTGCTAATCTCTGTGTGTGTTAGAACATTGTCACTTGCATTCCATACCTGGCGCCTCTACTGAAGGGCTTCGTCCGCGGAATCGCTTCAAGTGGTGACAAATCAAAGCAGTTTTACTATGACAGTCAGGGCCGAAGCTACTTGATGGATAATTGGTCGAAAGATCCACAATCGCACATGCAGTCAACTGCTTCCGGCCATAAAAAACCAAAACGAACACCGAGCGAGGAACTCATTTTGGCCACTCAGGAACCAGAGCATGGGGGTATTGAGAAGACGGTTGAATATAGAGTTTCTTCGGAGGGAACGGCGCCCAAGTAGTAAGCTTGATGACCCGCTAGCGAACTCTCGCAAATTTTTTGCTTACAATATATGGGGTATATTCTCTTTGTTTACATGGCAAATTGTCTTAATCTATTTGCTCAAAACTTTTTTTTTTTTTTTTTTCTTCTTCTCATGCAACCCCCCCTCATACCCCTGCACTCCTTGCCTTTTGTGGCGTTTGCGTTGGTGGCAATAATATATATGCGGTTATAAGATCCGCAAAACACCGGGTTTGTGCCTATGTACCGAGCCCACATGGTCGGCCGACTTCAAAAATCCTCGATCGTATGTTCACGCATGAAAAACTCTTCTGAAAGTGTTTCAGACACAAATGGGCTGTCGAAACAATGGCCCAGACGGACCGGGATCCACAGGATCAGCCCGCTCGGCCAGTGGGCCCCGGATCCGTGTGTCCTAAGACAATGCAAGACGAGTACGAAGTACTCCGTACTATATGAATGTTGTACGTAAATGAGCGTGCGATAGGGTTAGGTCGGGTTCGGCATGCAGGTATAATTAAAATGTAACTTCATTAGACCAAGCTTAGCTAGTCTAAGAGTCCAAGGCAACAGTCTCAGCCCTTGATTAAGTGACAAAACTCAAATTCACTTAGCTCTATGTTCGACTAGCTCCCAAATGTTGTCCTCCAATAAATGCTGAATCCTCGTGGCTTAGACTATATCCACATCCCTCCACCGTAACAATGGCCCAAGCCGTCCCAAGGATCAATTCCACCTTTATAAAATCTTATTTTAATCCTTTCGGGTTAGCTAGTCCGCTCGAAGGATTCGGATAATTTCCGTACACAATTCCAACCAAAATTGGTGGGTGGCACGACTAGTTGTGTGATTGGGAAGTAAACAGGAGCGGGGGTGAGACACGGTGTTGCACTTCGTATAGATTGAGGCAATCAAACTGGACAGGGGAACTGCGCACCAGACATTGTTCAACATGCCTACTTCTCCTGATTCTCCTATTCTCATTATCGGTGCAGGTATCAGTGGTCTCGTACTGGCCCAATACCTCCAGCGCCATGATGTTCCTTTCAAGATCTTCGATCGAGACTCCGCAATCGATGCCCGAAGTGGTGGATGGGGTCTAACGCTGCATTGGTCACTCCCCGCCCTGCGAGAATTACTACCAGAACACATCGTCGAGCGCTTCCCGGAAACTTTTGTCAACAAAGAAGCTTCCGCCCGAGGCGACACCGGTCGCTTCCAATTTTTTGATCTCAAGTCCGGAGATGCATTATACAATATTCCCGCCGCGGAGCGCATTCGCGTCAGTCGCGTTCGCTTGCGAGAGTTGCTGACAACCGGTGTGGGTGTTCAAGTAAGTCGTGGTATTATCGTCTTTGCAATAATATCATTCCTCTTCCACTCTTGATGGACACTCACACTTTACGTTCAGTGGAACAAAAGCTTTCAAAGTATCGAGTCCACAGCTGATGAAATCACCGCGCATTTTGAGGATGGCACATCTTACACCGGGCGGCTACTGGTCGCATGCGATGGTTCACGGTCGCGCACACGCGAGATTCTATACCCAGATGTACAGATGAACCAGTTACCAGTGCAGCTTCTAGGTGCCTCGACACTGTACAGTGCGGAAGAGCTGGGTGGCATCGAGTCAATCGACCCTTTTATCTTCCAGGGCTCGCATCCTGAGTCTAATGTGTTCCTATTCTTCAGTTGTAAGTCTGCCAAATCTGTTCTCGGCTACAGGTCACTAATGTCTTAGTTCTGGATACCCCGGGCAACTTCGAGAATAGTAGCAAGGATCGTTACCACTGTCAAATCATCACCTCCTGGGCCGATTCGAAGGGAATCACAGTCCCAGACGCGAACGCCGAGCGCATCACACTGATGAAGAAGATGACTGATAGTTGGTCGGAACCCTTCCGATCGCTCGTACACAAGCTCCCGGACGATGTGGAAGTGCGCTCAATTCGCATTGAAGACTGGATGTTCAGCCTGGGCAGGGCACACGCGCATCCCCGGGCGGTGTTGATGGGTGATTCAGCTCACACAATGACTATGTGTATGTGACTCTTTTATTGTCTTATGATAATGTGGCTGTGGTAGAATACGCTCTCTAACCTTGACTAGTCCGCGGAGAAGGCGCCAACAACGCGATCGTCGATGTGTTGGATCTCGTGAAGCGGGTCGATATGCGCCAGCCAAGGTATGAATCAAACAACTTCCAACTCTCTATGATTGAGTTCATATTAATAATCGCTCTTTCAATCACCAGCTCCTTCGACTCCGAAGCCTTGGTATCCTCCCTCGCAGCATACGAGAACGATGTCTTCGCACGAGCCGAGCCTAGCTTCCTCAACTCTAGACAGGCATGTTTAGATGCTCATGACTTTTCCAAAATTGAAGGAAGTCCACTAGTTGGGTTACGGGATTTGAAGAAATCTGGCTGAAGTTACTGGGACGGGTACGACCTCGGGGCATCTGTCACAAATGGATTTCATAGAAACCTTGGGTCGAAATTCCCGTGAATCAATTTTAAGCGACAGAGGGGTAAAATACACAAAATTAAAGTACTCCCAGTATCACCTTGTTGATGTCGAAATTAAGACTTCGGGATGTTGTGGATGTTGGTAATTTGTCCAGATCCATCCGAGTGCTTATCAGTGCCAAGGCCCAGTCTCACTCCCGCAACCTCCACACATTCCACCTCCCCCGGTATCAACAAAAAATCCCCTGGAGTTATCACCTCATCAAATTGAGAAGATAAAGGTATTCAAATGCAAGGCTGACGGGGCAATGAACGACACCGCGTCAAACCAAGCGGCCAGGGTCCGTGTATCGCAGCGTCAGCCGCAAGCCTGCCGAGGTAAATGCCGATCTTCTGCTGTCAGTCAGGACCAGTAGGCGACTGACATGATGCAGAATGCACGAAGCGCAAACGCAAATGTGACAAACAGAATCCTTGTGCGAGATGTAAACGCTTAAATTTGAAGTGCTCGATAGAAGTCGTGCAGCTTAGACGCAACGCTGTGCAACATGGGTCGGAAATTCAGTTCTTGCATTCGCTTTTGGTGGACCTCGAATCATCTCCATCCGATCCAGTGCCCCAAGTCGTTAAAAAGATCAAAAATCAAATATTTCGGCTGGAGACCGGTCAGGACCCCACAGAATCAGATTTATCCACCACCGCATCGGCACAACGGGAATCCAGCACAAGTGAGGACCGTGCACCTAGTAAAGTGTCACTCGGTGCAACTGACAGCACCTCATCTCAAATTGACTCATCGCTTCTCACGGCTATTGAACATCTGGCTTGGGGTCGTAATTCTGCTGGATGCTTCCCTCACATGACCTGCTCATGTCAGTATCGCAAAGATGGACCCCAATCGTTATCAGGGACAGGCCCTCTCCCAGTCAATGCATCCAGTCCAGGGCTGAATTCCTCCCTTCCCAGCGTTACGGACGCACAGAAGCTGATCAAGTTCCATTTATGCCATGTGGCCTGGCATCATAATTGCATTCATGGTCCAAAATTCCTCGAGCAGTGCGAGTTATTCTGGGAGACTGGGAAATTTGATGATCCTCTCTGGCTGGCACTCTACTTTTCTGTATTGAGTGCCACCGTTAGCTCAATCCAGGATAGTACGAAAGTAAGAGAGCTTGTTGATGTGGACCTACAGGCAATACCATCTACACATCAACTGTTCTCTGCTATGGTGCAAACCCTCTACAACTCACATTTTCTCAGCAATCTCTCCGTATGCTCCGTTCAAGCAATCGTCATATCAACCGAGGTCGCTCATAATCTTGGCTTGAGTCAACTGAACGCGACTTTATTCAATGCTGCAGTGCGCATTGCCGAGTGCCTTGGGATCCACAAAATTCAGGATCCATCAAAGAAACCTGCGCAAAACAAAGATGAATGGGATGAGAAGGTAGAAAGAGAAGTGGGAAAGAGAGTGTGGTGTCAAATGATTATCCAAGACCATTTCGCCATTCCTTTTACCGACACCTACAGTATCTCTCCGATGCATTTCTCGACAGGTCCCCCCATGAACGCGGATGATTATGACTTGACGGATATGCCTATCACATCCCCCACCATAAGCACGTACATCCGCGTGCTCGTGAATTTGGCAGAATTGATGCCCGGTCTAGTTGACGGACTCGGTCCAATGAAATCCAGAAAGCCCATGCGAGAGCAATATGAACATATTCTGCATATAGACCAGAAAATGAGAGGCATTGTGAAAAACATACCCCCAGTCCTTCTGCGTGCCGATAAAATAAAGGAAGCACAAATTCCATGGCTTGCTATCGCTCGACGGAGTCTTGCTATCACTGCAGCTGAGAAGATTATCATGATCCATCGGCCATTCCTCTTCCGCTCTTTCAATGACCAAACATACATCTACTCAAGACGTACCTGTGTTGCCGCTGCAATGACAATTTTGCGTGAGCACGAGGTAATCGTAAGAGAAGGGGATATCTCGATATGGACTCATACAGCCTTTGCGATTACCGCTGCAGTCATTATGTGCTTTGAGGTTAATGCAACTGCAGACAACCAAGTCACTATCGCCCAAAGCCACAAGGATGCCATAGTCGCAGCTCGCACCCGCCTTGCTGATCGGACTAATGACGTGCTTGCTCAGCGAGGCGTCGCGTTAATCGATGCTATCTTTACTGCCGACACATCCTCCGACTCCGCGGGACCTGGCAACAAAATGATTGATTTTGGTCAAATTCTGGCTAAGTTCTCAACTTTTACGAGAATGAATCTAGGCCCTGACACCCCCGAAACAACTGTTAGCAGATTCTCAAATACCGATCCCCAAGATGTGATCGGTGCTCATTTTAATGAAATGCAGCCGGCGTGGGATACAGCAGAAGATATCGATTTTGATGCATGGTTCAATGGAACATTCCACACTCTACATGACCCTCTTCAGTTTTGAGAGAAGCGAAAATTCATAACCACTTGAAGCCACTATTTTATTGAGCTATCCTAGCCAGTGCTATTTTTCAATTTATGTCCTCGCATACCCCGTGTCATTCACTCCCTCATAATCTCGGAAGGGCTTGGGAGCAGTTGTGCTTGTCATCGTGCATTGCCAGAGTAACCTCCTTTTGTCCTCCTGTTCCTTGTACTGGGCTAATTGGCCAGTAATACTGTGCATTACACCTCTGTTGTGGAAAATGACCACATCACCCTTTTGCCAACGATGGGCATAGATGTTCTCAGCGGCATAGATCTTACTCTGCATCTTGTATACCACTTCTCTGACCTTCTCAACATCATCCATTACCGTGATCTCGCCGGTCACTGGGTTCCGTGTGGTGAGCTTGTAAACACAACAACCATGCACCTGGAAGAATGGCCGGTCGGGATTGAGCGGGTTTCGCCAAACCATCTGAAAGTTGTCAGCTGATATATCTTGTTTATATTGTGTGCGGTTGGAAAAGGCAACGTACTGGGTGCTCTGCAACTTTGCCCCATGTCCATTCCGACAATTTTTCCACGGGTACCTCCCGTCCAAAATTCGGGATTGTCAGACCATCTTCGGACGCTTTGCATTGGCGGATATACTCATATGCTTGAGGAGCATATGTGACTGTGGTATTGAGAGCAAACTCTTGTTCCTCTGGCGTTAACAGGGAAAATACACGAGCACCGGAAAAGACTAAGTTCAGTCAGTTGGCGGACCTATGTGTGTTTCCTCGGTGTACCCACAAGCCGTGGCTCCAGCGCCGATGATCTTCTCTTTTCCATCAGGGAACTTGATCTTCTGATCCGGTACACTGGGACTGCGAATTGAGTGCAGGATAGTCACTTCACCCGGCTGACGCTCATAGAAAGGGGTATCCATGTGCCACCGGTACGGACGGGTATAACCTTCATCCAATTCCTCTTGGCTCAGAGGCTCCTCGTGAAACAATGTGTGATCCTGTCTCACTAGTCAGCCAAATGAAAGTTTAGTACATCGGTCAGACGGGGGACACGAACAAGATGCACCACTTCCAACTCCTTCAAACCCTCATAATCTTGGAACTTCCCCGAGCCAATGATTCCAACTTGGGGGGCTCTGGGAATTCTCCCGGCTTTGTATGCCGACAAGATGTTCTTGGGATCGCTCACAGCTTTCTCCCCGGCGGAATGGATGTCGGATGCATTAGGATCGAAGATCTTAGCGAGCGTCGGCAAGACAGTAGGGTCAATGCCTTTTTGCTTTCTGATGACAATGACTTGGTTCTCGAAAAGAGCCTTTCGGAGAGTATCTTTGTCGTAGTCCGTTAGGCGGTCCAAATCCAGCAGGGGCATTCCTGGAGGCAGTTGGATTTCCGCACCGATGGCGGAGCTTTGTCTGATTTCATCAGGGAGGAGATCGAAGGTCAAGCTTGTTGGTTCAGGCATTTTGGGGTTCGAAGAAATGTTTAAAGTGTTTCCAACTAATGATTTTCGATATATTGTGTCGTTAACTATAACGCTGCCTTTTAAGTAGAAACGGGAATGGAGCAGAGCGGACGAGTCCACTGATTTGTGCCACCGTTTTTGATAAGACCAATGCCTTGCATCTTTCCGGTCGCAACGCGTAATACCTTTTGTATTATCATCCCGATGAATTAGCAATAATGCTGGGAACCTGACTGGGTATCTCCGTGGACGGGTGAGCTGTTGGAGCTCACCCGCACCGTCCTGATTGGCCCTTGTGTTACTACGAACAAGAAAACAATATAAAACGTGTACAGTCGCTCAACGGTGGTATTCATATTGGTTCCATCCAAATATTTATTTCAATTGCTTCATTCACAATGGCTACCATGACTCTTTCTTGCAAGCCTGTTACCAAGCCCGATGATTCTCGGGTAGACTTTGGGGCTGAACTCACCGGCTTCGATGTTGAAACAATGACGGGTAAGCAATAATCAAAGCTACTGTTTTTGGTTCAAATTCTGATCATTAAAAGACGATGACTTTGATTTTCTCCGTCGTACATTGTATGAGAATCAAGTCGTCGTAATCAAAAACCAAGGCAAACTCTCCCCACGTGCCCAGTACGAACTCACTCGACGCTTCGATCCTGCCGCCGGTGTTTATAGTCACGGGAAATCAATCGACAAGCGCAGCGTCCTCCATGCAGACTTGACAACCATCCCTCATCAGCCGCAAGTGCAAGTTATCGGCAGTGGCTTCGTCAAAGAGTACGAGGGACTCTCAAACATCCGCCTGAAGCATCCACACCACAAGACATTCCACAAGAACCCCATTTCACCTGAAGAAGATTACTATTATACACACTTCTACCGCTGGCACATTGACTCGGCCATGTACAACCTTGATCCACCTTTGGTTACCACGTTGCTGGCCGTCAAAGTCCCCAAGGGCCGCCGCCAGACCTGCCGCTATGACGATGGCACGGACACCACACTTGACGTTCCCCTTGGAACAACCGCATTTTTCAGTGGATACAAACTCTACGACATGCTTTCAGAGGAAGATAAACATTTCGTCCGCACCAGCAAGGCTGAATACGCACCTCATCCATACATCTGGATGAGCAAGGCCAAGTCACGCTCCAATGGCTTAGGCATTATTTCAGAAGGATTGGAGCTTGCCGAAGACCAGCTACCGCCCTTCGAGGCTTCTAAGCTCAGGGTTTATCCCATGGCTTGGAAAAATCCCGTTACTGGCAAGATCGCAATGATGGTGTACCCGACATGTGTGCGGAAAATCCATCTTGAGAACGGGGAGGTTCTTGATAATCTCGCGGAGATTCGCGAACGACTATACAAGATGCAAAGACCTGCCATTGATCCTTGCTACTTGTATACCCATGACTGGGAGGAGGGTGATCTTGTGCTGTTCAACAACCATGGTGTGATGCATTCGATTGTTGGCTCTTTTGGGGAGGATGAAGTGCGGGTGTTCAGACAATGTAATATGGCAGCTAGTCGTCCTCCTTTGGCGCCGGAAGATAGCCCGTCCATTGTTTAGTACGTGAATAATAGTGCTTGCCGAGACTTTCCAGTTTAGCTCTGTATTTTCAAGTAATTTAATTATAGATAGATAGTAGTAGTATTAGTATATAGTAGGTTGAATAGGTATTTATTATAGATATAGATATATATTATATTATATTATATTAATATAAATTAATTATTAGTAGGCTTACTACGCTTCCTTACCTCTCTTAACTAGACCTAGCAGTGACCCGTGGGTAACCCCAAGTGTAGTCTACCTATAGGCTGTCGCAGAGCCCAACTGGACCCAGCATTAACCCAGGCTGTGGCCCCAATTGGGTTACAAGCATAATAAACTTGCCAATCGTTCCAATACAGCGTGTTTAAAGCTCGTTTTATCACCTTATATATATGAAATTTTATTATCTGAGAGACCTTTTCTTAAGGTGAGGGGTAATAGTGACATTTATATCCAAAATGCTATTTAAGCTAGGCTTATTGATTCCGCTCAATAGGCAGTTGCGGCTGAACCCAATCAAAGTTGCCCATCAATTTCGTCAGCCACACATCTCCCGGGCCGTTGGGTGCCCGTGGTGCACTACCATCAAACAGACTGCCGCTGAGGAAGGTATGAGGGAAACCGTGATCAAAGCTGTAGGCAGCTTCGATCTGCGCCACTTCCTCGACACTCAGGGAGACCTCCAATGCCGCAATGTTGCCTCGAAGATGCTCAAGAGTTCTCCCGCCAACAATCGGGAAGACATAAGGAGCTTTGTGCCGGACGTAGGCGAAATCGATACTGGTGAGATTCGTCCTCTTTGCATCGGCAATTGTTTCCAAAGTCTTAGCCGCACGTTTCTCCTCATCCGTTGCGGCTCTTCCCTTGCGTCCAGGATTGTTTTGCTCCCGCTCCTTATATCCCACTTCCGTTTGGAATCGGCCTTGGCCCAAGGTTCCCCAGGGAACCACGCCCATATTTTCATCACGGCACATCGGAAGGGTCTCACGCTCAAAGTCCCGGATCGAAGCGTTCCAAAGGCCTTGGTACACGGAAAACTGACGCAAGCCGTGATCGCGAGCATAATGATTGGCCGTGGCCACCACCCAAGCTGGGCAGTCAGAAATTCCCAGATAGAGAACCTTCCCGCTCACGACCAAATCGTTGAGACTATGCATCAGTTATGGGATTGAAACACTATAGTCCTACCAGTGGAGGTACCAAAGGTCGATATAACTGGTCTGCAATTTCTGTAGTGAGAGATCCAGAGACACGCGCATTGACTTTGAGCCGTTGCAACCATAATTCGATTGAACCCTGCCAGCCTCATGATTCTTGTAGCTGCTGGAAAACTTGGTGGCAAGAACAATTTCTTCACGGTTCTGCCTTTGGGCAATCCATTCCCCAATCCATTTTTCGGATTCTTCATTCTGATAGTTGTTGGCAGTGTCGATGAAATTACCACCTTGGCTCACGAAATAATCCAGAATTTCGAATGCTGTCTCCTTTGAACATTCACCGATTCTCTCCTTCCATGCCTCACCGAAATTCATGGCACCGAGAAAGATAGGAGAGACTCTAACAGAAGCTGATGGAGCCAACTGCCGGTGTCGGTCAAGGGGCGAACGCGGTGGGGGAGGGGCAGGGAGTGGCATGGTGATAGGCTGGGGAGCTTTATTGAACTGGAAAACACAGATCGCATAAAGCACAAAGGTAGGGAAGAAATTCTTGATATAATTGACACTGAAACGCATTAATATACAAAAATTGCGTCATGTCGATAGACAACTGCGAATATCATTCATTGCTTACTCTGCTATCTCCAGCTAAATCCGAATACTAACCCCACAATTTATGACGGATAGTAAGCAAAGTGCAGGAAGCTAAGTTATTTAAAACCTAAAGGCAACTGCTGGCCATCTTTTGATGACGATATTGTGTCATCTCTACCGCATGAGTGGTATTTTGGAACTATGTGACGGGTGACCATGCCCAACCAACATCTACTCCGCTGCATTAAAACCAACCAAGATGTGTATGATAAGCAGCATATAGGAAATCCACCGCAGAATCCACTTTTTCATTAGCGGTGATAACTTACAACATAGACAACTCAGACAAGTAGCGATCGGATTTTAATCACACTTTATCACCATAGCGCATATTTCTGCCGGGGTTATCACGGAGATTCGGGGATGCTGGCGTGTTTTAGAGGGGCCGGCAAGAAATCTAGAGAATCAATTTTCTAATAAATAAGTCCTCGCCGCTCATCATTTCACCAATCTGGATCGGCTTCATCGCAAGCAAATTATTTTTTGGTTCGCTCTCTATTCAGATTCTACCTGTAATCTGCTTCTCCGCTCCCTACAGCAAAGAGTTTATTGGTCATTTTTTTATCATGGACGTTCCGAAAACCGCTATTCCAGTCATACTTGGCTCCATGACCCTTGGAAAAACCAGTGAGTTTACAGTCCCACCTATAAGTACAGTGAGACCAAAACTGATATCTCAACTGAAAAGACAAGGCACATGTTCGAATTGATACCATCGGCGGTACCAACGAAATGCTAGATGTCTTTCAAAAACATAAACATACCGAAATCGATACTGCCCGCACCTATGGAGCAGGGTCAACAGAAGAATACTTGGCTAATGCAAAATGGCAAGATCGAGGACTCTTGATTGATACCAAGCTGTATCCGACCAAAAGAGGAGACTTAACTTGGATCACTTCTGAGCAATGGACCCACGAACCGTGGGATGTCCGCGCTGGTTTGATGACGAGTTTGAAAGCACTGCAAGCTGAGAGTGTGGAAATGTTTTACCTCCATGCCCCGGACAGAGAAGTTCCGATCGAAAAGACCTTAGCGGAAGTAGACGCACTCCATCGGGAGGGATACTTCCGTCGCTTCGGTATCTCTAACTTTCAATCCTGGGAAGTTTCCAAAATCTGTGAAATCTGCGAGAGGCACGGATACATCAAGCCGAGTGTTTATCAAGGCATGTACAATGCATTTCAGCGGTCAGTTGAGGCTGAGCTTGTTCCCTGCCTTCGTCACTACAAAATTGGCCTATATGCCTTCCAGCCCTTAGCTGCAGGTTTCCTGACCTCACGATATCAAAGAAACCAAAACACGGAAGACTATGAAGTTGGTTCTCGTTTTGATCCCAGGGAAAGTCGAAACCTTTTCTATCATCGGCGCTATCTTAATAGTCGGTACTTCGATGCTATTGAGCTTCTGCGTCCCCTTGCGAAGAAGCATGGTCTCACGGAGGCAGAATGTGGTCTTCGCTGGATGGCACATCACAGTGTGATGAAAAGAGAGCTGAAAGACGGAGTTATTATTGGCGCTTCTAGTTCTTCGCAATTGGAACAGAATTTGCTAGACCTGGAGAAGGGCCCGTTGCCTGATGAAATTGTGGAGGCACTAGATGCAGGGTGGAAAGGTATCGCGGGCACCTACGCATATTGGCACTAGAAATGGATGTATTTATTCCTCTCTATATCGGCCGAATGAGTCGAAACCAATTAGGCGGTCTTTCTGGCTCCCGATACACATCATCAAGGCTTTAGTTCTCAAGACTCTTAACATCCATTTCTTACAGCCAGGAGAAAATGTTTTCGGTTGACCGTGACTGCTGGAAACGGGCATTTCCACAACTGTTCCAAGGTTACTTGTCATGGCTGACTCATTAGACGACAGACGCCAGAATATAGATTTCTCATACTGCTTTTGGTAATGACCAAAATTTCCGGCTACGAAATAAAGTTACTCGCCATAACGGGAATTTTCAGTCACAAGAAAGATGCTTGGCGATTGAGATGCCTAACTGGATGCTGAAGAAAATGCAAGCGTGCAGTAATTTATTTTAGCGCCCTATTTATGATTTCGTGAAATATGATTCCGCCGTATACCCTTTAAGCTATTATTGACAGCTAGATCCAAAAGAAAAGAGGCGTTTTCGCCTCCAAACCCAAAAGTTTAGACGTCTAGTCACCTACGCCGAGAAAGGTGGTGTCCTGGAGACGCATAAGGACGTCCCAGATGAAATCCGGGATGAGCTCTACTTGGGGAAATAGTTGAGATAAGAAAAAGACAAGGTCGAAGGCGATCTTGTTACTGCTAGTCAAATGTCGCGTTTGCTGATAAAGACTCATATCTACCCCACCTGGAGTGGCGCTAACCTCTTCAGCTTTCTAGGTAACGAATGAAAATCACAGTAGAGAAAGGAAGCCGTAGGCGTGGAGACATGTTTGCATGCAAGGTTTAGAATTGATGAAAGGTATAGACCTCTACATAGCGAACAAAGCCCATAGCCGCCCAGAATGGGCCCCATTATACACTAAGCAATACAAACATGCCAATTTCACAATAAATCAAAAATAGAGAGATAAAGCTTAAACAATCAATCCAGGATAGTTTGAGGGTAGGACAAAAATTTCAGTGATGCATTCTTCCCTTGATTTTTTTTGGATATTTAAATTACCGTCTAAGCTGTACGTGAAAGCTGTACATGAACCATCTTCTTATAAGCTTATAAATTAACTCACAGGACTGATTGATTTGATTGATTTGATTGATAAGATATTAAGTGATAGATGTTTTACATACTAAGAATACTCATATATATCATCCTCCACTCGCGTTCTCTTCCTCCCTGATGTACGCTGCTGAGTATGAGTACTCGGTAATTGCGATGTAGCAGCAGTAGCAGCAGCAGCATCGTGATCATATGTATCCAGACTGTCGTTTTCAAATATATATATTTAGTTGAAATATCTTGAAATCTGTCAAAAGAAATCATGTGTCAAGCTAATTTTGCTTACTAAAATCGCCCACGGGCGCTCACGGTGGGCGTTGCCCGTGGGCGTATAAGGTGGTGCCCGTCTATGGGTCTATCTGTAGTGCCCACTGCCCGCTTATATAAGGCCTGTGGGTGACCTTTGCCCACCCGCCCGTCCATGGGCGATATCGCAGTCTAGGTCTGGGTTGGGTTCTGGGTCAAGATCTTCGACCCAAAATGGGTCATGCGGAAGACTACTTGAGGGGCGCTCTTAAAAACTTTAGTTTCAGGGGGGTGAATCCGGTTTTCTCCTACCACCGGCGACAGGCATCCCTCAATACCTATAAAAGTAGGATAAAAAAATAGAGCTAGCAGTTAGAAAGAACATGAATAAATTTTGAGAGCGTCACGGCCCTTGGTTGGCGAGATAGAATAAATATTAGATCTGGGCAAAGAGAGTTGTTCGCATCACCAGCGTAACCAGGAGCTTCGTGCTCTCATCCGCGACGCCGAAGGGCTTCAATGAGAGAAGGGGGGTGTGGCTTCGAGTATCCCCCACCTACATAGCCATAGCCGCGGCCGTCGCTAGGTGGTATCAAAGCGTTTAGCCAGATTCTTATTTTCGATGTTTTTCTTCTCTAACCCACCGCCCACCTTACCGAAAGGATAAGTCGGCGCTTAATATAACGTGAAATGAACTCTTTTATTCCATACTAGGTGATGTCACTAAATAGGTAGAAACGGATCATTTCGTAAGAGTTACTCCGTACTAACATCGAAATTGGGGAGACCGACTTTATTGACATTTTGTAGATAGATTACACTGTCTGTGGAATACGCCAGGCTCCTCTCAAACAAGTACTATATTTGCCTCCAGGATTGCTCCGATAGAATAGAACCAAAGAAACCGGAGAAAAATTAGTGGGCGAATCACTTCTAATCGCGCCATCACCGCATTGGCCTCTTTCTTTAGGTCATGTCCGCTGCAGCACTATGCATCACTCTGAATTCGGAGCTGCAAGCCGAATTTCGTACTCGATTAAGAAGTTTATATTTATAATTTAAATCAAATTCAATTACGTTGAAGTTACTGCGTGAATCTCACAAACCAGTGCTCTTCTCTTATCACTTCTTCCATTAGAATATTAAGTTTCCCATTTTAAACATGACACATTGCTTCATATTGGACTTGGAGAGACACGCAAATTTCTCCAATAATGAGACCTTTCCTAGAAATCGAATCAGCAGCTAATGCGCTGCTTTTATTGGTTCAAAGTCGAATTTGAAGGCGAATGCACTAAGGATCCCGTGGAGATAAGCTCATCAAGCCGCCTCGGCACGCCATCAAGAATTTAAGCACTCGGGCGCACCGAAGTCACTCCGAAGATGCGCCTGGTGTACTTGGCAAGTGTTGTCTGAATTGTAACTCATTCTTATGAGTATCCCTTTTTAGTCGGGGTCATCTTGTTGCGAGATCATTATTTCCCATATATAGGCTATCTCGTTGAAATATCCACAACTGATAAGATTACCCCACTTGTATAAATGCGTTGTATGCTTCGGGTCGGATAAACCAAATAATGACTTCCTACCAATGATTTGCAAATGCAATCTTGTTGCAGGGATATTAGTGGTATGATAATAAGTACTGTGGATGTTTGGAATCCTGTGAGACATCCCCAACCACACGGTAAACGATGCGGTAGTTGGGCGCCCGACTTGGTATCCAGTCTTGCTGGTGTGCGTCAGCAAGTGTTCATAGCTCAACCGGTGATACTACTCAAGTTAGTATGAACCCATATGAACGTAAACTAACTTCAAAGCTTGGGCGTAGTCCCATGTCGGGGGAACTTGTTGCCATTTTCGGTGGATCTATCGTGACTGCTGCATCTTGGCTTGGCTTAAGCCACGCGACAAAAAAAAAACAGCTGTGAACTAATATTTAGAACCCACCCTCCAGTGCTTTTCCATTAACTATCTCATACAATCCTTTTTTTTCCGTCCTGCAGCTTAAAATTATTTCAGCTATGGCGAGTTCCAAGGATCCTACTAAAGATCCAAATATATCAGAGGCACCGGCGGTAGCGGCAGATCTCGAATCCGAACATACCAGTCAAGATCCGGGAGAATGGCTGTACAAATCTGATAGAGCAGAGCTTACAGAGCTCACACCAGTCGAAGCGTTCAAATGGAGTGTGGAGGGAGACCAGTCGCCTTGTAGGTTGACCTATATATCCCAATAGCCGGTGTTAACACTTCCTAGTTCCAGAGGTTGCGGCTTGTGTGTCCAACAAAGATGATCCTACCATCGCCTGCAATAGTAAGTCATTGATCCTTTCTGCTAAGTAGCTGAATTAACACTCCATGACAGCTGTTCGGGCCTGGATATTGATGACGGTCTTTGTTATACTTTTCTCTGGAGTAAATCAATTCTTCGGCCTACGATATGTACGTTTCAAGTCGCTCGCTCCAATTGATATTTACTAACATTCCCTAGCCTTCCCTCACAATAGGCTATGTTGTCGCTCAGATCCTCGTTTTCCCAATTGGTCGAGCATGGGAAAAGCTTCCAAGGTGGAGGGTTCCTCTAGGGAAACTTTCATTCGACGTCAACCCAGGAAAGTTTACCATCAAGGAGCACGCCTTCATTGTTATTGTGAGCAAGATCTAATTCTAACTATCCTAACATTTTTTATTATTATGAATTACATCTAACAAACTAAATCAGTGCGTTAATATTAGCGCTACCACTGCCTATGCGCAAGGTGCGTTGGTAGCAATCGTCAGTCCTGTATATTGGAACCGCGACCTTGGAGCCGGCTTCTCATTCCTATACCTTTTGACAACCCAAATGATTGGGTAAGTGTATCTTTGATTATTCTATTCTGATTCAGTCGCTGATTCTTTCTAGGTTTGGTCTGACAGGTCTTGCCCGCCGTTGGATTGTGTACCCTGCTGCCTTGGTTTGGCCTACTTCGCTGTCATCCACTGTCCTTTTCCGGGCACTACACGAACCTGAAAGTCGTACACCCGTCAATGGTTGGACTATTTCCCGGTATCGCTTCTTTGCCTACGTTACAGCATTTGCATTCGTTTTGTTTTGGTTCCCGGACTACATCTGGACCAGTTTGAGCACTTTCGCTTTTGTCACTTGGATTGCGCCTCATAATCAGAAGGTCAATACGATATTCGGAGTAAGTCCACAGAAACCTTGTTCATTCCGGCATGGAACTGACCTCACCTTTGCTAGATGAATTCCGGATTAGGTCTGATACCTATCAGTATCGACTGGACACAAATCAACTACGCTGGTTACCCTCTCATGACCCCTTTCTACATCACATGCAATGCGTTTGCAGTTGTCGTGTTCTTTTACCTTTTCTTATCGCCAATTCTGTACTACTCGAACGTGTGGTACAGCGCATAGTAAGTTTTCAGTCTGACGAGGTGTTTTCAATGTGCTGACAATCAAGCCTTCCTCTCCTCTCGTCGGGCACCTTCGACAATACCGGAAGTGCATACAAAGTATCTCGTGTGCTCAACGAAGCGTTAGACTTCAGCGAGAGCAAGTACAAGGAGTACTCTCCCATGTACATCTCAATGTCTTATTCCCTGACCTATGGACTGTCATTCGCTGCGGTTACCGCAATCGTGGTCCACACCTACCTTTACAACGGCACTGAAATTTGGGCCAGGTTCAAGAATTCACAACATGGAGGTGAAGATGTTCACCGTCGACTGATGCGCCAATACAAAGAGGTTCCAGAATGGTGGTACGGAGTTCTTACTGTGGTGGTATTGGGACTTGGTATTTTGACGACCAAATACTGGGACACAGAGCTGCCAGTTTGGGGCTTTATAGTGGTTTGCTTCGGATTGGCAGTGCTTCTGATTGTCCCTGAGGGTATTTTGCAAGGAACAACAAACCAGCGCGTGTTCCTCAATATCATTACAGAGATGATCGCCGGATACGCCTGGCCCGGAAAGCCTATCGCTAACCTGATGGTGAAGTGCTACGGCTACAATGCAGTCAAACACGGCATGGATTTCGCTCAGGATTTGAAGCTCGGGCAATACATGGTATGCTCTTTTTACCCTCTGCTAGTCGAACTTTACTAATGGTTTAGAAAATTCCTCCACGTGTTCTGTTCTTTGGCCAGATCTATGCTAGTATTCTAGCAACAGCAACTCAGACCGGAGGTATGATATTTTGTCAAATTTATATTATGGATTTTGAGCTAACGAAAACAGTATTACGATGGATGTTGGGACACATTGATAACCTTTGTGATCCAAAAAACAAGCAACGCTTCACATGTAACGGTGCCAAAGTGATGTACAACGCTTCCTTAATTTGGGGCACCATCGGTCCGCAGCGGATGTTCCAGTCTGGACAGGTTTACAACGGCCTTGTCTACTTCTTCCTCATCGGAGTGAGTTTTCAAACAACTTGATTTGGTTTTGCATTACTGATTTTCCAGCCCGTTGTTACTGTAATTGTGTACTTTATTTACCGCCGCTACCCTAACAGCTGGGTTCGCTATATCAACGTCCCGATCTTCTTTAATGCGGCAGGAAATATTCCCCCTGCGAATACCAGTATGTCTCTCGAAACTTTCGTGATGGAATTATTCTAATATGATCAAACAGCCCAATACTCTCTCTGGTTCATCGTTGGATTTTTGTTCAACTACCTGATCCGCAAGCGTGCATTTGACTGGTGGAAACGTTACAACTGTGAGATCCTACTTTTTCAATTTTTCTTCCCCAGAATAAGTCACTAATCTACGGTGTGTGTAGATTTGCTCCAAGCAGCCATGGATACCGGCACTGCTATCGCGACTATTATCATTTTCTTCGCGCTTGGCTACCACGCTGTCACTTTCAACTGGTGGGGAAACACAGTCGGATCTAATACGTACGATACGAAGTCCGTCCCTTGGTTGACTGTTCCCAAAGGGAGCTACTTTGGAAAGGGGCCTGGCGAGTTTTGATTGGAACCGTATGTACGATTGAATCCTATATGGCATCATTGGCGCTAGGAGACTCCGGGATTACTTCCAAGAACCTGAAGCATAGAAGGGCCAAACATGCATGCCTAGTTTACTACTAAAGTTTCAAAGTAGTTGCTTTCCACTCCTATAAGAAGCTAGAAGCAAACCCCTTGTTGCAGAAATCCTCATTTTAGTTGACATCGAGTTGCATCTTGCCATTCCAGGTCCATACGTTTGCGGGAAGGGCAACAGCAATCCACTATTCCTCTATTTCCATGGTTGATACTATACTGTTGTTCTTTGGCTGTAGATTAGTCTTAGTAACAGCAGGTGAGCTTAATTACGAATATTGCAAATACTTTGAGTATATAATAAGGTATTAAAGTATAAATTCTATAGTCATCATCTTGGCACACATAATCTTAGGGAGTATCTACAAAGGATCGATCCCCTAGGAATTATCTCCCCTAAGCACTAATTAGTATATTTATGAAGAATACCATGCGTTGCTTCTCCTTCTCCACTATAAATAAGAGGATATGGATATGGGGCCTCACCTGGGCAGGGCTCGCGGAGGATTACATAATCAATAAACATGGTTTTTGAGGTTCAAGGTTTGAGATTCCCCGGAATCCGTTCCTTCTTTATCTCAACGTCCGAGATGTTGAGGCGCAAGGTCGTGTGACGGGATGGCAGAGATTCCCGAGTCATATCACTGAACAACAAGGTAATTAATACGCTGTAGCTCAATCTTACCTCAAAGTTCCAATGAAATGTCTCGCGGGCTCAAGCGCATGTGCCAAGCTAAATGTACATGTTATGCTTTGGATGTTGGGAGTTTTGCTCCGATGCCGCGGAGAACAAGATTTTGAGCCTAACTCATTATGTTGTTGGTTTTCTTATTTCTTCAGCGGACACGGCAAATCTCCGAGTGCCAAGCCAATGACGAGGGAATTTTCAGACGGATGTTGCTCATATGGCCCTAGAAACGCGCAATTGCAACGGTGATGTCGTGATTTTATGCATGGGTCCACCCGCCTCGTTTAAGCCACCCGACGCTCCCAGGCACGTCAACCTTACTAGAAACAGTATACTCCATACAATGTATTTGGTTACAATATAGCATGGACATCAGTGCATGTAAAGTGAGCTTCTTGAATCACTCAAGTTTCCAACCAAGGCATCCATCGACACTTGAGATTTCACTTGCCAGCCTGTCACAGCCAAGCATTCTATTACATCGCAGAAATAGCCCCCTCGGAGCTTAGCTCAAATCTTATATCCCCACTTTGTCCATAAGCATACACCTCCTTGCTAGGTTGAGTGGGCCGTCCACGGGTAGCTTCTATTATGATTATGCAATTATCCACCTGAACTGTGCCACCAGCCAAGCGTGTAGCTTATAAAACTCTGCATTTCCCTGTCTTTGGATTTGTCTTTAACCAGTTGAGATTGAGAGATCGAGCAAAATCGACAGAATGGCCTCACAAAAGGACATTGAAGTGACGGCATCGCCTCCTATATCATCAACCACATCATCAGAACGGGATGAGAGCTATGAGTTCTATAAACAACACCAAGGGCTTGAATACACAACCGAGGAAGCCAAACGAGTTTTGCGCAAGATTGATATACGCCTGATCCCATTGCTATTCCTAATCTACATGCTTCAGGTGGGAACATCACCCATCTCGTTAAAATTCAAGTGCTAACCCCATGCAGTATCTGGACAAGAACAGCATCAACTTTGCATCAGTATATGGCTTAAAAAAAGGAACACACTTGAAGGGACAGCAATATTCATGGCTTAGTGAGTTTGCGATTCCAAGAGCTTGCAATGCAAGTCGCTGATCCTATCAGGCTCCATTTTCTACTTCGGATACCTCATTGCGCAATGGCCCGCAGGACTAGCTTTGCAAAAGCTGCCCGTCGGCAAATTCCTTGCCATCACCACACTAGGTAAGAGATAACCCATGAGGACTCGTGATGTGGGCTCAAAACTATAAAAATGCTAACAGAGATAGTGTGGGGTGGTTTACTCATGACGACACCTGCATGCTACAACTTTGCTGGAATCGCAATCAACCGCTTCCTTTTAGGGATGGTCGAAGCAGTTGTGACTCCTGGATTTGTTCTTATGACTGGCATGTGGTACACATCTGAAGAACAACCTCTGCGACTAGAGGCATGGTACTGCACTAATGGTATCGCGACAATGTTCGGAGGGTAAGTTACAAGCACCTACCCACCTCTACCTGATATTATATTGGTGATGAAACTTCGAAATTAATCAAATATAGTCTTATTGGCTATGCGGTCGGACATATCACCACTGGACTTCCACGATGGATGTACGTCTTCCTTATTTTTGGAGCCTTTTCCATCGCGGTAGGAATTATTGCCTTGGTCTTTCTCCCCGATCTTCCATCAACTGCCAAATTTCTCAGCGAGCGTGAGCGAGCCATAGCAGTTGAGCGTGTCGCAATCAACAGACAAGGTGTCAAAAGCAGTCAGTTCAAATGGTATCAGGTCCGACAAGCGGCCGAAGATCCGAAGACCTGGCTTCTGTTTATCATGGCTATTGGTGCACAAGTCCCGAACTCGGCATTGACAAGTGTATGTCTTTCTGTAATTGCTAGTTGGATGTGAGTAAAGCTAACAACTGAATCAGTTTACTTCCATCATCGTTGGCACTTTCGGATTCGACACACTTGGAACACAATACTTGCAAATCCCTGGCGGTGCGGTTCAGTTCATCACTCTTATTCTCGGAGGTTATATTGCAACAAAGTTCGATGGCAAATTTCATTCACGATTTGCATGCATGATCTTTGCTTGCACAGTCTGTATCATTGGGTCCGGTCTTCTTGTCGGACTACCGGACACCAACAAATGGGGCCGCCTTGTTGCACTCTGGCTATGCTATTTCCAAGGTTTAGGATTCAGCATGAGTCTGACAATCGTTAGCTCCAACATTGCTGGATATACTAAGAAGCAAGTTACCGGTGCACTTCTATTCACTGGATACTGCGTGGGGAATATCATTGGGCCTCAGACTTTCAAGTCTAGCGAGGCTCCTAGGTATAAGAGTGCTTATATTGCGTAAGTTCCCTCTTATTCTTGTGTAAGGCTTCTGATTGACTGATAGTTTCTACAGGATGCTCGCTGGATATGCAGTAAAGCTGACCTGCATTGTCGCTTTGTATATTTACATGTATCTCGAGAATAAGCGTCGAGACCGGGAAGCAGTTGATAGCCAGGAGATTGAGGCAGAAGGTGTTGAAAATGGCATGCTGGTGAGTTTTGAGTTCTATGAAGCCTTGAGATAAGCTAACGAATATTTCCCAAGGACAAAACGGAGATCGACAACAAAGGGTTTAGATACGTTCTGTAAAAGTAATCTTGATTTTTGACGAGGATTTCACCTCAAAAGTTATATCGCTCTCTTCAAAATATGACTGAAACTTTAGAATTAATGTTGTTCTTGAAAACGAAGCAAAGAAATCCAATCCCAAAGAAAAAATCCATTGAAATCTCCCAATAACTAACTGACAGCGAAGTTATGAAATCCCACGCCCAAATGTAATGACAAGAACAGTTAATACTCCGAATATTTCATGAAGAATTGAATAGCAGGCAAATGGAAGATGATAAAAATCAACCAAGGACCCAAGTAGTTTGCCCAATGTAGTTCCAATTTCCACCTTGCAGATACTCGAGTTTTCCTCATACTTATTGACAATCTTGTTCCACTTGTCTCTCTTCTTCCAACAAGGTATGTACTAACACTGGGGTAGAAGCTCCACTCTACGGTATAAGGTGAGTGTCAATATATCCTTAATCCAGGACTTTCTTTCACCCCTATCTGTGTGAGTTTATCTTATAATCTGAAGCCATATCCGTAAATATGTAGATAATGACATTGAGTTAAAGTATAGACGACTGAAAACATCGCCCATAGGTGAACTATTCGCTACATGTGTTCTATGACCATGTAATCCTGACCTTGCTTCCCTGCGCGACTTGCTATACCCAAGAACATGTTTATCAATATACGATTGCTGTAGACTGGATTCAAAACTTTAGATGAATGTTTGTCTGGAGGCAAGAGCGTCCTCAAGACCCTTCCTATTTGGGGTTGTTTATTTGACTATAAATGGCGTCCCCAGCAATTGTCTCTGTTTACTTCTTCCTTCATACATTTCACCACTTCATCAATGATCTCTCTTCATCTAGCATCTTACACATTCATCATCATTTCAATTCATCAAGCGATCTCAGTCAAATAAACACGTACACTATGGTATCTCGCCCCTATTTAGCTGGTCTATTGTTTTAATGGACAAGTTACTAACTATAATTACAATATATAGGCTGATCCATACGCACACCTCCTTGTGCGTGAACATTTTGATTGGTGGGAAGACGTGGAGAATGATATCGCCATAAAGGCCAAAGCCATCCCTCCAATCTCTACCGTTTCTAAACTGGTATTTATCCCCACTTATCTCTCATATACCTACTTCAGACGTGATGTGCTGACATTTCTTACACTATTCAGGGCTTGAAGGATGACATCACTAGGAATACCAAACCCATCCCTAAGCCATCTACCGTTCCTATCACAGCCCCTAAACTGGTATTTATCCCCACTTCTATCTCTCTACTTGCGACCTTAGAAACTGACATTTGCCATACTTTTCAGGACGAGAAATACGCGCGTCTTCTTGTTCGCGAACAGTTTGACTGGTGCGAGGATGTCGATAATGGCATTGCCATGAAGACCAAAGCCCTCTCTTTGGACACTAAAACCCCAACTGCGGACACTAAGGACCTGGCTACAGCTTCCACTTTCCCTGTCACCGCCAACATAATGGTATCTATCCCCACTTTTAGATCCCATATCGCTTTTAGACCTGAGACTAACAACGGTTACATTATAGAATGGCGGGGATGTCCAACGTCCTATTATTACACAATACAACTGCCAGGGGGATGTTGATAATGATGTCGTTATCAAAGCCAAATCCCTTTATATGGAGACCCATATCCCTACCACAGGCACCAATGACCAGGCTAGCACTTCCACCGCTACAAAATTGGTATATATCCCCCGCTTACAGTTCGTGTATCTTTTTCAGAACTTACATATTAACAATGACTATAATTTAGGATGATGAGTATGCCCAACCACCTGTCCGTGAACATGACAACCGGCTGGAGCATTTTGAGAACGACACTACCTTGAACACCAAAGCTGTCGCTATAGACACTGAAATCACTACTATCGACATCGGGGATTTGGATACATCTTCCACCGGTAGTGCTACTATCAAAGAGCTGGTATATATCCTCACTTCCAGCTCGTATATATCTTACAGACCTTAGACACTAACGACATATACACTATAGGGCGATGAGGATATCCAAGTTCCTTTTGATTACGACCGTTCGGAGGATGCCAAGAGTGAATCCACCGTGGACACCGAAGACCTCGATGTCACTTCCATTGGCACTGCCACCGCTAGAAAGCTGGTATCTATTCCCACTTCCAATTCGCCTATCCCCTTCATACATCAGAGATTAACGATGGTAATACTAAAGGACGACGAGGGAATCCAACACCTCGTTAGTGAATGTGACAATTGGTCAGAGCGCCCTATTAGTGGACATGATGATTGCTTGGAGAATGCTAGAAATAACATCGCCATGGACACTGAGGACCTGCATCTCAACCATGAGCTCCACGATACAACTAACGGCCCCATCATAGCCATTCAATTGGTATATTTCCCCATTCCCAGCGCGCGTATCGCTTTCAAACTCCAAATACTAACGATGGCTATACTATAGGAGGATGAGGAAAGCAAACAGGCCGTTATTGAAGATGACAACTGGTCGGAGGATGCTACGAACGACATCACCATGGATACTGAAGACCTAAATACCAACAATGGGCCTATCGCTACAACTGACGGTCTTGACACAGCCGTGAAATCTGTATTTATTCCCATCCCCAGCTCTCCTACATCTTGAAGGCCTTAAATACTGACCATGATTACACTATATAGGAAGATTTGCATGACCACTTGCACCACAAGATATCCGCCTCAGCCGACGATGTCGAGGCCAACATCGCTATGGACAACAAACACTCCACTGGTAGCAACGAACCTCTAGCTACAGGTGACGACCTTGTCACAGTCGCGGAACTGGTATTTATTCCCACTGCCAGCTCCTCCACCTCTTTGATACATTGAAAACTGACTTATTATTACACTACATAGGACGATTCACATGCTCATCCCTTGCACCCTGAGACATCCCATTTAAGTGACGATGCTGAGAGTACCCTCGCTACGGACCATCACCCTGAGCTAAATGCCGCTACCAAGTCTTCCGATGAGATTGCCGACTCCCCACAGCCAGTCGAATCAAGTCAGTTGCTCGACGTGCCCAAATCTAACTCGTCGCCCGTATCAGTCCAAACTCCCCAGCCGGACGAATTCGCGGTGCCAGATGGGGATGTCGATGAATATGAATACCGCACGTTGATTGGCAGCGAAGATGAGGATATTCATCACTGGAATTGGTTTGGCCGCGCAATGTATGCACCAACTGCAACCCCACCAGCTGTCTCCCTTGCATTTATGCAGGTCCGACCTAAAGTACCAAAGGGGCGAGACGAACTTCGCGTGATTTCCATTCTGAACCGTGCTCTTCATCAAATTGACCCCGTCATTTTGAGGGTCGACAGGGGAAATGAAGGAGTTTTGCAGATGCATGGGTCCGAAATGATTGAAGTCTGCGATGGAAACACCTACACTCACTATTCTCTCCACGGAAATTGGATGAGTGATGATTTTTCAATGCGCCGAATGATTGTTCCGGACTCTGGGGCGCCAGTGGGACGAGGATATGCAATCAGCAGGTGACAATTTGTAATTGGGAACGGTATTTTCGAAAATGGACCGCTAATTTCTCGATACGAGTGGATGGATTGGCGAGATCAACTGGTCGCTGCCGCTCAGGAACCATCTCGCTCTCCACGAAAGCTCACTTGGAACCCAACTCCTTCATGTTTCAAGATCGAGTCCATGGCATCCAAAAAGCCATCTCCACCAAGTCACATTCCCAGTTACTCTTTTGCCCCTCTGGAGATCATGAGCTTTATCATCCAAAAGGCTTGGGCCACCGAAAGAAAGGTTGCTCGCACATTCATTTCTCTGCCACTTGGCGTCATGGGGCCCATAATCAAGAAGGCTCCTGTCCTGAAGACTGTCCCCCATCCACCACTTCCTTTTCCGATTGGCATCATAGGCAACACCACCAACAAGGCTTGGGCTACGGCCAAAAATGATTTCAGAAAAGTTTTTGTTTTCTCTATTGGAATCATCAAGAACGCATGGGAGTTCATCAAAGCTGCTTTCCATTCACACACTGTTATGCCTGAGGTTGTTTCATTCTTATCAGGCTAAGATAGCTCACATTTTGGTTTTGTATCTAACCAGTGTATGTGACATGTTGGGGGGATTAAGTTTGAGATTGAGGTATGTTTTCAAAGCGCTGTCACTTTGGAGTGACATTTTGGTTACTTCGGGACTATTGACTTTTCTTGGGTTGATTCACTTGTGGCTTTCTTTCATATGTTTGGATATCCTGATTCACTGACATTTTGGATCTAAAATCCTTGGGGATTTTACTTTTGTTTACAGATCATTGTCACTCTCAGTTGACCTTTTGGTGAGACCATACTAAGATCTAGTTCACTGCACTCTGATATTTCTTGATTTATTTAAAAAAGGCAGAAAAAAAAGATTGCTTGCTAATCTTCGATCTTTGCTTCTCCCAGTAAATTTGCTACGTAAATTTACGCTCGAACAAACATTACATACGATACCATATAGTACATTACATCTCTATAGTAGGAAGTAGGAATCAAATAGGTGTTATACTGATTTTAGCATCATGATGTCAGATTTCATATAAAAATAACCCTAAAAAGGTCTAATTTGACTACGAAAATTTCAGAAACATGTACGTTTTACTTGATGTTGAAGGAAGAATTGATAACTTATTTGATAGAGACGCATACACTAACATGGGTATCACGCGCATATAAAATAACGACGCTTTACCACTTGACAACTCGTACAAAGGAAAATAAAATGAAGGAATGACAGGCTTGCAGATTTCATTGAGATATGAAAGTAGCTTAAAATCAAATTAATACATGAAACAAATGAAAGATAAATTGAGCACGACCTCACCGTTCTTTTTTTTGAGAATTTCAGATTTTCTCAAAATCAAAGCCAGATCCCAATGTGATCTAGGAATGCCAGAAGAAAACGGGGAAACATATAGCTCATCTCAGGAACCAAAATGTAAGCTCTGTCTGGCCTTATGGAAAGTGTGCGGTGATTGCAAGGTGACACAAAAACCAAAGTAAAACCAAACTCAAACCAAAACCAAAATGAAACCCGTCCAAATCCAGTCAAATGAGATTCAAAACACAAAGAGAACAAAAGCAGAGCAGAGACAACCTGGCTACAGGGGAAATAGACAAACACCTAAGTGAACTTGCCTCTCAGTGATGTGAGCATGGATGCCAGACCCTTCCGAGCCTTTGCAAATACGTGCTTAATCCCCTTACGACGACCAAAAACAGGCGTGGGGAAAGAAAAATACTCTTCAGGTGGTGCCCCAACAACACAAGTCGTGATTTTTCTGGGTGGCTTCTTCGCCCCCTTGATAGTCTCTGGCTGTGCTGCCTGTGGGAGTGTTTCTGGCAGGATTGATTGGCATTGGCTCAACGGCGAAGGTTTCCGCTCCCAAGTCTTCCTCTGCGGAGGCTGACCCCAAGAGGCATCACAAGCTTCATTCCGAGACGCTGTCCACTGGGACACTGACCTAATAGCACTGGACTCCACGAAACCATTTCCAATGGCCAAATCTAGGGCATCGTAAGTCCTTACATCGCCAAAATCAGTAGTTGTTTCTTCACTAGAATCGCTAGGGTCTTCAAGCCATGTGCCGTGTGGGGAGTAGAACTTGAAGACCCGTCTGGTTGATGCACGTACAAGTTCTGATCCCCGGAGGTCGAACAAGGCATTGTCGGTGCCATCCATAAGTACAAGAACAGGATCTATATATTCGCCTGCTCGGTTCAAAAGTGATAGAATTCTCCACGTGGCACTTCCTTGCGGATTCTTGGGTTTTGCTAATATGATTGCAAGCGAGTGGGATGGGGTAGTCGAGCTGTGTGTGTACGTCCCCACCCCCATCCAGTTGAAATGATGTAGGTCCTCATCAGCTTCAATCCAGGCTTGACGATCAGCAAAGATATTGTCTACAGATTGCTGTGCAACCGAATAGACGTCAGAGTCCGCGGTTGGTGTCAGTTGCTCCCGGTGGAACTCGTCATTGTGGAAAGGCTCGTCGTAGCTGGAAGATGCACTGGTGGTCTCACGGAGATCAGACTCGGCTTCTTTGGAGGAGCTTGAGGCTGAATCTGAAGTCCCATGGGCCCAGCCCCATAGCTCATCCCAAACCTCTTCATACAGAGTTGAAAATGATGGCTGAAATCGGGGGGTGGGAACGTGATTGGGAGTCGGGAACGGTTCGTCGTACCAACTCATGCCAGGTGCACGATAATGAAGAGACTTTGGTATAGCGTTCATAGGTAAATTGTGATCGGCTACCGCATCTTCGACATCTTCGGCCCAATCAAAGTTGCAGCGGCGAAGCAGGTCCTCCGAGAGAGCGCTCTGCGTTGAAGAAGATTCATGTAAGTTTCTATCACCTTTTGACACAATGTTCAGCGGAGCTATATAGCTAACCTTTGCTGGGGAAGGCATATTGATAAGATTGTAATATTCAATATGTTGTTAGAGATAGCAAAATCGAGGTTGGTATGTCGATACGTGTATGCGAAGCCAAAGTTAGAAGGTAAACAAGATCGTATCTAGGAAGAGGGGGTAGGTTACCGTGATGTTTGTGTTGTCCTGACAATAGAAAGAACGGGCTCCTTTGCTCTTTCCTTCTGAACAAAAATATCACAATAGGACTTGAGGGGAAGTGCCGAGACCGCGGTTGCTGCACACTGTTGGATGGGTATCATCAACGCTATTTATCAGATGTATAGGGGACAGTGACTAGTATTTAGAACTATGAGTCGATCTCCTCCAAAGAAATATAGACAATGGCATTGATTTGATCTTTGTCTATCTACAACGAGTCTCGCGGTATCGATCGTAGTGGTGCACTTAGCCCTTTGTTAAGTTAAAGATGACTATCCCAATGAGGGCAATCTTCTTCAAAGAGAAAATATCTCTTTGGGTCATTCTAATGAGACAAAAGGCTTGTTGTCTCTCATTTTGGTCAATCCCAAGCATATACAAAGGACATAATGACATGCATTCTGAGACGAACTCCATTATGTGCATTGCCTCCGAATAATCGTGCCAAGCGCCCAATACGCCCTCGCTATTTTGCTGAGGGTCACCGCATAGTGCATTGTAAGAATTAGGTATATTTTGTAAGACAATTCCATACATAAGGTACAAAAGGACAACATGAGCATAACGTCAATTTTCGCGACTCTTCAACTAAACAAAGGGAATACAAAAAAATGGAAGCTATGATATACATATCGTTCAGTCAGAGCCTCCTGAGGTATACCGCACCTAAATATTGTACGTAAACTTCTGACCATTGTCTTGCTTCAAGCATACACACATGCATGTACTTTATCAGTCTTATCAAGATATATATACTAGGTAATCGAAACTTCCGGGGTTTATTTACGCTACTTAACTTCCTATACTCTTCACAACTACTGCAAGAGTTAAGAAACAACCCAAGGCGCCGCTCACCCGGCTAATATTCCTATATAGGGTTAGGTATAATAGTCAGTAGCTGATCCTACCGATGTGGACAACAATGACCCTTTAGTTATTGGCGAGCATGTATACTTTTTAGGTTTTCCCATTTCCCTACCAAATTACCCACTTACCCAGTATACGGGCTTATATACAGCACCTAAGCAAAAATCGGCACTTTTACGTGCTGCTTATGGTTTGTATCTAGCCTTCCAAGTTTATGGTCACATTAAGCAAGGTATCACTATATAATCTGTAATGATAGCTGTTTATCCATGGATGGATAGATCATAGGAGATTTAGGCATTTGCTACCTACATGTATATATTCTAAATTACCTTCAGGGCTACCTACCCGGGGACCGCCCGTAAAAGGTGGCTTGCTAATTTGCTGCAAGGGGGGTAAAATTACTCCTATTGTCGTAGTGGTTGGATTCATCACCCAAAGGGCCAATCAACACAGCGAATGTTTGGGGTGCTTGGCGGGGTTATATCGAGATAAGGAATCGGCCTTCTCGCCGCGGGGCCGGCGATTACATAACACGAGATGACGCCAGAGTCCCCGCAGTCGTTCGTGATTCTTCTATTTATTTTGCGTTCGACCTCTCATTTCCCATTGAAAAATAGAGACCTCGATCCATGAGCCACCTGCGAGCTTGCATCAGATCAATTGGACACTTTCGACGGCTCCCACACCCCTTTACATCCCCAGCTCTCTCCACAAACCCCTCCTTCCCTCTCACGGCCTACCAAACTTCTATCCGACGCACCATGGCTTCCGCAATGGCAAAGCGCCTCGAAGGCAAGACTATCGTCGTTACTGGCGCCTCATCCGGTATTGGAAAGAGTACTGCCAAGGAGTTCGCCCGCACGTCGCCCAAAAACCTGAAGTTGATCCTTACCGCGCGCCGCATCGACACACTGAAGGAGGTCGCAGCGGAGATCACAAAGGAAGTTGGCGATGGTGTCCAGGTTCTTCCCGTCAAGCTGGATGTCAGCAACCCGGAGGAAGTCAGCAACTTTGTTTCCTCCCTGCCCGAGGAGTTCAGGGAGATTGACATCCTTGTCAACAACGCGTGAGTCATACACATGAAATTAAAATAATTGGTATGCATGATTGATACTGATATTCACGGTGTAGTGGCTTGGTCAAGGGTGTCGCCCAGGCACCTGAAATCGCTGCCGAGGATATCAAGGTCATGTTTGACACCAACGTCACCGGTCTCATTAACATGACCCAGGCCATCCTGCCCATTTTCAAGAAGCGCTCTGAGGGTGGCCGTGGTGATATTATCAACATTGGCAGTATTGCCGGTCGCGAGCCTTACTCTGGTGGCAGCATCTACTGCGCCACCAAGGCTGCTGTCCGCTCCTTCACTGACGCGTTGAGGAAGGAGCTCATCGCCACGAGAATTCGTGTTATTGAAATCGATCCTGGTCAAGTTGAGACGGTATGGTTATATTATACATTTGGAATCCTGGGTATGAAGCTAACATCTGTGATTAGGAGTTCTCTGTCGTGCGTTTCAGTGGAGACAAGGCCAAGGCTGATGCTGTCTACAAGTAGGTCATGCCAAATAGACTGAAAGAACACAGTAAAACTAACCACTCGCAGGGGCGTCGAGCCATTGACCGGTGATGACATCGCTGAGATTATTGTCTTTGCGGCTGGTCGTCGTGAGAATGTTGTGATCGCTGATACCCTGGTCTTCCCTAGCCACCAAGTAAGCTTGTTTTGCGGTTAAATTTTCGGATGGACAGGTTCTAATTATTTTATAGGCTGCCGCTGGCGTCATGCACCGCAAGTCTTAACTTACATGCTACGAGTCCAAATAAATATTGAGAGGGGTTAAGATAGCACTCGTTGTACATGTTCCAATGCCTCATGTTTTGTGATGACAATAGCGGTTAGGGTGGCATACTGGAGTCGCCCATAGATGACTAAGGCTAAACAAATAAAACGAACATATCTACTCCGTACGTAGTGGAGAATCCTCAAGAGTTACGCTGACAAGTTCTGTCGAGGGTGTGGTCGATTTGCGAATGGCTATTGGGTCAGCTAGTTGGTCCGATGGGGGCCATACCTCGCCTTGCCCCCAATATGCGAATTTTGTACTCGCCATCTGTTTCAGGCACTAAGGGAATACAGATAAGGCTTTCAGAATATACTTAAAACAGTCTATATACACTATCTCGGGCTATTGAAAAACCGCATCAAATACATTATGTCTCGATGCGATACCCGTGGGGATGATAACCTCAAATTTGATGTCGCTGCACCGACGGGGTGGTCTTTCGCCCCCGGCGACACCATCATCGGTAATCTCGTGCGCCGAGCACATATTGTCACCCCTGAAGCTACAGTGACGCTTACGCTGTCGGGTCGCATACACAGCCAACTTACACCCCGGGATAAAGAGAGACAGGTGTCGGATGACTGGCACCTACTTTATCCAAGGGAGGAAGTTATATTCCGCGGACCTCTACATCTACCGGAGGGAAGCAACAAATCACTCAGCTGGTCTTTCTCGCTGCAAATCCCTCCCAAGCCCGTTGATATGCTGGGAAAAAAGCGTGCACAAGCTGGTAGCTTTGTCGCGCTCGATGGAGACCAGACCACTCATCATCCACTGCCAGGAACTTTCACCACATTAGGCAGCGACTCCAGCCTCGCGTCCGGGTGTTTTATCGAGTATTATCTGAGCGCCAAATTAAAGTACAACTTCGGATCGTCCCAAGTTTGTTCTGCTACTTGGAAGGTGGACATCAGGCATCCAGTCGAGTTGGTCGAGAAGAGCCAGTTCGAGCAGGTCACTCACTTATCCATCGAGGGTAAAGTTCAAAGCCAGCGGCTACTGGTAGCCATGAGCGATGCAAAGTTATCCCTAAAGCAAAAAACACAGAAGCTTTTCGGATCTTCCAAAGTCCCCAAGTTCTACTACCGGATCGACCTCACATTCCCTCGCATTCTGAAACTCGGCGATTCCCAGAATCTTCCTCTCGTGCTAAACATCGCGCCTATTGAGGATAATACTAGCGACTCACTCAAGGGCACCCCACAGGAAGCTCAGATCAACTGGATCAAATTGTCCCTGGTCAATTACACGCACATTATCGTCACAGATCGCCCTCCATTCGGAACTGTTCACAGGGATAGGCATCGGTTCTCACTTGACCTGCATCTCGAAAAGGCATTTGATAGTCTCGAATCTCCATTGATATTGCCTCTGGGACACCAAAACGCACCCATCGATATCGGGGACATGTTCCAGCTTGTTCTACACTCAACCGGCCTGACTTCTTCTGGTTTGCGTCTCCATCATCTAGCCCCCATTTATCCCGACTTTGTCACATATAACATCAAGCACACTCATGCTATAGACTGGAAGATCTCGGTCACAATTGCTGGAGAGACCCAAATATTTAACAAGAGTGTGCCTTTAAAGGTGCTCAAAGAAACACAAACATGTGAATTTCCTGCTTGACGAATCCCTACATTGTACGCTTGTTTATCATTTTGAATGGGAACGAGTATTTTGTACAAACTGGCTACAGTGGATCGACGGAGGTAGAGGGTAGAATGTGTTTTTTTGGTATACACTCATGTCGGCGAGGACGCCACCTAGATATTCCCTACTTTTAATGAGCCATGTCTGTCGAGGAACCACATTGGCGATGACTCGACGTAGCGTTCCACAAATGGATACCATCTTTACAAATCCCCTCATATTCTAGTTATGATTACCAAGTACATATCTGACCCGAAACAATATGAATCCAAATTCGGTCGACAAGATCCAAGTAAATAAAACAATCACGCTTCGTATATTGCATAGTATACATGAGAAAGATACATATCTATAATGAGGTAGAGAGGCGTGAGCCGGGCCACGGCTATTGGCATCCACGCTCATTCCCAAAAATAACCCTAGTATCAGAGAGCGACAAGGGCCAGTGCAGCAGCAACACCACCGGCAGCCCAGCGCGCGTTTCCAGTAATCATGGGCATAGCAGCGTTACCAGACTCAGTATGACTGGTGGCAGCAGCGCTGCTGCTATCCGAGGAAGTGCCAGCAGCAGCGGCAGTGCCAGTGCTAGTACCAGTAGCGGTGCTATCGGAAGTAGAAGCCGATGTAGTCGAAGCAGCGGTAGAAGCCGAGACGGATGCACCAGTGGTGGCAGAACCGCTATCAGTTCCAGTTGCGGTGATCGTGACAGGCATCAATGCGCCACCGGGAATATCTGTGATAGCGATGGCTGAGTTCCACGTGGAGGTCGTGCCATGCTCGTCAAAGGTTGCGCCGCACTTGGCGCTTGTGGCATCATACTTGCAGCTTTCAGCGATAGTGCTATTTCAGGAAAGGATCAGCTATGATTGTGGGGGGGATAAGTGGATTCTTTGTAGGGCTGGATACTCACATATTATCCATGCCGTATGACAAGCTGACGGTTGAAGAGCCTTGGTTCACGGTCATGCCAGCGGGGGGAAGGCCGCAGTCGTCGGAATCAACGTCGGCAGGACATTTGATAAAATATTTGGTCATGGAACCGCTCTGGAACAATATCAATTAGTCTTCTATGTTAAATCAATAGAGGTGTGATTGCGCATACAGTTCCAATGACCTTGCCCTCGATTTGTTGCTGGTCGAACCCGGGTAGGAAAAGAGTGACTGTCTCGGCAGCGATAGCGGCAGTGGCACCGGCCAAGAGAGCGAGAGATTGGACACGCATGTTGTATTAGAATAAATTAACGAATGTAAGGGTAGTCAAACGAGCGACAAAAATCGAAATTGTATATATGAAAAGAAGACAGAATGGATTTGAGAGATGCAGCGCCTTCATTTAAGATAAGAAATTATTTCAGGGTCTCTCATAAGCACTAAGCAAGGTTCCAGTTTAGTTTGGACGGAACAGCCTAGAGCCCATTTCGTATAATGCACGGATGGCCTTCAGATATCGTCTTTCTATTGGCTAATTTATCATACACTAGTCAATTAATGGGTATCCTCTAGCCTATTTAGGAACCAGCGTGGGCGTAGTCTCGGCAAAAGTTATACCGCTATACCTAATTAGGACATTTGAAGCCCCCTACTCCGTACTTGCCGTGGCTGTAAAAATAGCCTTGGAGTCATTCTCAGTTGGTAGCCCCAACTACAAAGGTAAAATTCTGCCTTTTCAAGAGAGGGCTCGAGGCAAATTGTGTGTAATTTATACTCATATCACAGGAAATTTCCATGATGCCCAAGACAAGCTGGAAGGGGCGGAATTTGGTTTTTGCGGCCATTGCTCAACACCCCCGATGAAAACCGAGTTGATGTTTTCCACACCCGCTGAGAATACCAACGCAGACATTGGGTCGGTAAGCCTCCAGGTGGTTGGGGGCTCAAGAAGAATCATATCAGCTTGCTTTCCCACTTCGAGACTGCCGACCTTTTCTGAGATTCCCAACACCCCAGCTGCTCCTAGAGTGTGCATATAAAGGACTTCACGTGTTGTGAGTACGGAAAGATCCTGATATTTCCCTCGAACAGAGTAAAGACCCATTCGCATATTCTCGAACGGGTCGCAACGGTCACTACTGGCCTCGCCGTCAACACCCAACCCAATGTGAATGTTGTGTTTCAAATATTCGGGAATATCCGCAATACCCGATCCGAGACGGCCGTTGGACATTGGATTCCAACTCACGCTCATGCCTGCATGACCAGCTTCCTCGAGCATTGAAGTTGTGGTATGTAGGAAATGTCCCAATATGAGTCGCCGGTTAAGAAGACCGGCATCTTTAAGCCATTGCCACCGGGCCTGCTCCGTCTCTATGTCCTGTGATTGAGGATTTTCGAGATAATGAAGGTGCCCATGCAAATTCAGCTTGCACATGATTTCGGCTTCCGCATGAGTGCTCATATTCTCCTTGTACATAATTCCGTGATTTGCAACCATGGTTCCAAGATATTTTCCAGTGTTCTCAAACGTAGAGGCCCACTCCAGAAACTTCTGAGTTCGCATAAAGGCTTGCTTTCTAGACCATTTAGGGGTCATCGCCCCTATGTTGAATCCGTGTATAAAGCGAATTCCAGAATCTAGAGCGCCGGCAAATTGAGCACGGTCTGCCAAGCCATCCCGGAACCTTGGTGAGTAAGTGAAGTTGAAGGCAGTTGTAATCCCTTTTCGCACATGAGAGCTCGCTCCTTGGATTGTAAGATTGTAGAAATCTTGGGTGGTCAATCTCATTGCAGGCTCATAAATAGCCTCCGACCACTCGTTGACAGTTTTATCCGACGCTTGACCGGGAAAGGCACTTTGCCAGAAATGACTGTGCGCTGATATGAACCCTGGTATTAACCATTTACCAGTGGCATCGATTACTATGTCGGCTTCCATATTATCTTCGTCTATCTCGTTTCCAATGTAGGTAATTTCCCCATTGTGTGACACGAGCACATCAGCAGTGAAAGGCTCCTGGTCGGAGTGGACAGACACCAGAAGAGGCTTTTTGAATGCGATCAAATTTTTAGCACGCGCCATGCTGCAATGTTGACTTTATTGAATACCTATATCCAAAGTTGTAGTTGTGTTGACGGGAAGCAGTGACGATGAGCTGTTAAAGAGGCAGGGCTGTGCTCTACGGACATGGTATATTAAGCAAGCGGATCCACCCTAGACTGACATGCCCCTCCGCACCCCCGTCCTCTGGGAAAGGTCCTCTTCATTGCTCCGAAGATGGCGAGAAAGGGTGCTTAAATATCCTAAGCAACACAAGACGTGCCGAATTGAGACTTATACCAGGTAATGTCAATGGCAGCAATAAAGGAAATTTCCACCAATCTAAGCCCTTCGCGGAGTGCCTCGCCAGTACGGAGTACCCTCAATCTTAAACTGCCCCCTTTTGTCACGGAATTCAAAGGATTTCCTGTCACTGTTGACCCTTTTTTCCCTTCTTTTTTTGAAATCCAATTTGATGGGCATTTTGGCGTTTTAGCACTTATCCAGTATTACCGATTTGTGGTGCGGGGACTTGTTATCGGATGAGATATTCTTTGTACTTCGCGTGGACTTCATGCTTGATTCATTTTCTGTTAGGGTATATATATGGTGTCAAACAATAAACTCAACTGATGTCTTAATTCTAGAGTCATCGCTATTGCTGCATCTTGTAGCCTACCGGGGGTTCCTCTCATTTATTGTTTTATCTTGCTCACTTCATGGATGGCTCTGAGTCAATATAAATGGCGCCGTCGAAACCCATTTCTGCGCAGACTGATGCAATTTATCCCCCTGTAATTTGGTCCGGAGCTCCGCAAACAGCGCTGGACCCTGAGTTGCTACATTCAAGGTGGCTTGATTGATAGCCATGTGCCCCTAAGCCCCGCCCAGCCGGCAGGGTGGTTGGCTAAACTTAATTGCCAAGCTTCAAAGGGAGTAATGCTAAGCGATTAGTTAGTGTCCTTTTCTTCACGAGCCAACCATGCGTATCTGAAGTGAAGTGCATAAGGTGTTTGAGAAAAGGCTACCCATCGTGGCTGATGCCACAGGTGATCATTTCCCACCGAACTTCCAAGTTATCTCTCCCGAAGGTTCCCCCCGCTGCAACCTGATTCGAGGACAGTCGTTCGCGACAACGGCTGCGCGAACACAACTCCCATATAGGCTCAGTTTTATACCGGAAACTCCTTGGCAAGGCATATTTCTACCTTGGCGTAAACTACAAAGAAAAGCTCCGACTTCTTCTATTCTATAAAGGAGCGTCATGCGAACCTTCTCTGTAGCAGCGCACTAAACCAACCACCCAAGAGCGAAAAGTATCGCTGCTACAAGATATAGAAACTATTATTCACATCAATCGACTATTGTCCTACCGACGCAATGGCAGGAAAGATCGATGTTAACAATAAGGTCTATAAGTTGGCCGCCATGCCCTTTATTTTGGAACGCAAGGGCGACTATGATGAAGCCATCACCGTCTACAAGAACGCCATAACTGTTTTGGATGGAGCAGTTAAAATATACAAGAAAGGAAATGTCCCCAAAATCAACAGAAAAATGTTTGAGAGACAGGTCCAAGTTCATCGAGAACGCCTAGCCTATCTCGAAAACCTAAAGGGCAAGGGCAGTTTCGATGGTATAATATTGCCTCCGACGATTTTGGATGCGATGGAGGAGATCGAGGACGAGGACGGAAAGACTTGGTCCTTGACCCAAGTAAGCCACATACTCCAGGACATGGCACACCTCTTTCAGATAACTGATTCTTGTCGACTGCCAGATCCGCAGAGATCTTAATACTTTCCGCGGAGACGATCCCAGTCAATCTACAAAGGATATCAGCGTAGCGCCAGCCCATCTCCAACCATTACTCAATACCGACACCTCGCAACGACCATTCTTCTCGCTGACCCTCTCTCCCTCGGCGCCGACGATCACTTATCGCATTACACATTCCTCGGAGCTGGTCAGCCTGGGTCTGCGCTCATATTGGTTTTTCGTCAAAGACGCGACCAACACACACGTCTTATACGCCCTCCAATTTGTCTGGAGCAACGAAGCACCCATCGTCGAGACGGTCCTCCGGCGTGCCGGAGAATTCTTACCTCAAATTGGGGCGACGAGTGTGAAACTACAGAAGACAAAAGGTGGCAGTTTCCGGATGATAACGCGGACAATACCCGACATGGGCGCAATAACCGAGATTCCGGATGGAGAGATGCAGCGAAAGGATTGGTCCCCGCGACGATTTGAATACGGAGGGCGCAATTTCGTGTGGAAGAGTGCAGCAGCAGAAGGGAAGAAGGAAGGTGGGATGTTTGGGAGCTTTGGCTTCGCTTGGGAGACTTTGTATGAGACGAAGCGTGTATGGGCTAAAAGTGGAAGTAGGACTGGGAAGATGGAAGATGAAATTGTTGGTCCCAGGCTGTGCTGGGGAGAGAAGAAGGGGGCAAACGGTGCGGAGCAAAGCATTCACATGATCGGTGGTTTGGATTTGTATTTCAGAGAGCATTTGCTCGCGGTCCAGTTGTCGAGGTTAGCTCGTGTCAGCTATCCCCCACAGAAGGATACCAAGGGGATCGAAGCAGCATCAGCTGGCGTGGGTTGGCTCTCGATTATTTCGGATTTGGCATGAAATCCTGGCGAGTCTTAAATTTCCTTTTCGCTACATATATTTCTCTTTGTGATACGGAGTTGTGCTTTTTAGTTGCGGTGAAGAAGCGAATTAACACCATTTCAATGGGCCATCATCTGATTGCTGTGGTTGGGCCTCAGGAGGTCAATCGTCCGGTGGTTGTTGAAGTTGCTCCAAAAATTTCTTATCCAAATTTCCAGCGTAAAAGCCTAACTTTTATGCAAAGAGAGGCTATTGCCTAGAAAAGGTCAACATGTACGGAGTACCTTGTGTCCCATTACTATATGTTGTATGGAGTTCGGAACGGCACGCCCCTCTGTTCGAGGGGTAACCTGTTACCACGTGGACCAATAGTATCTCTTACCGCCCTGCGGCTGAGTTTCAGTTCAGACCCCCGGGGCCCAAATATCAACTCACTGACTGAATCAGGAAGAAGGGCCAATCAAGAGGAAGACGCCCATTTAATATTCAACTCTACATCCATATATTCTCTATTAGGGCCCTTCATTTTAAAATATCTTTTTAGGGCCCTATTAGGATTCGGGATTTAGGGGATTTAGGGACTGTAGTATCTATTTAATAGCGTTGAAATTTTGGGTCTCCCTCAGCTGATAGCCACGGCGGCTATGATACGTGCCTAATACATGACTGCGTACGGAGTATTTGGGGCTGAGAAGGCTATAGATTCTGTCTGCCATGCTGTCCCTCCTCTTCCATCGTCGAGATAAGTGCAAATCTATCGATTCTTCTACTGCTTCCCGGTGTCTTTCCAGGATTATTTTGCCAGTGACTCGGGCCTTTGGCAGCTTTAGTCCTGCGTGGCAACTGGCAAAGCTGCACCTTTGGACTTACAGTGATAAGAAAACACGCCAGAGTCACGTCTCCGTCTCTTCTCGTGTGACTACGACAGAGACGAAGCGCACAATTCTATCTTTCCATCCACCTATCCTATCCGGCAGCCTAATGCGCTTCCTTCCGCATCATGGCATCCCACAACAACCTCGACAGCCCCGACTCTTATCAAATCGCTTGGATTGCTGCTCTTCCCATCGAGCGGGCCGCTGCAGAAGCGATGCTCGATGAGGAACATACAGCTCCAACCAGCTTCACTAGACACCAAGCCGATACGAATGTTTATACGTGGGGTTGTATGGGAGAGCATAACATTGTTATTGCCTCTCTGGCCTCTGGAGCATACGGAACCACCTCGGCTGCGACCACGGCTTCGAGCCTCATTGCCTCTTTGCCATCTGTTCGTGTTGGTCTTATGGTCGGTATAGGCGGCGGCATCGCCCGCCCGGACGAGGACTATGATATCCGGCTGGGTGACGTTGTCGTGAGCCAGCCCAGTGGGACCACAGGCGGCGTCTGCCAGTACGACTTGATCAAAGCAAAGCCTGGTGATAAACGTGAGCTTAAAGGCTTCCTTGGACGGCCTCCCACGGTCCTTCTCAATGCACTTAGTAAAATCCAGGCCTACCACGAGCGAAAAGACTCTAAGATTCCCTGCTTCCTTCAAGAAATGCTAGAGAAGAACCCGAAGATGGGTAAGAGAACTAAGCAAAGCCCTGGCTTTATTCACCAAGGCTTCGACAACGACCGCCTCTTTAAAGCTCTATGCAATCATATCCCCGGCCCGGACTGTCGGGGCTGTGATAAGGCTGATGAGGTTCAACGCGATACTCGAGACACTACCAACCCCGATATTCACTATGGGACTATCGCATCCGGCAACACACTCGTCAAAGACGCTGCTGCTCGCGATCGGATTGTTGCTGACATCGGCGAGGATTGTATATGCTTTGAGATGGAAGCGGCCGGCCTAATGAACCACTTTCCCTGTCTTGTGATCCGAGGGATTTGCGACTACGCCGATGCTCACAAGAATGATCAATGGCAACGCTACGCCTCGGCAACCGCCGCTGCGTATACAAAGGAGCTTCTGTCGTATGTGCCGGTCACGGAGGTCAAAGAGACCAAGAGCGCCCTAGAAGTGATTCAGTCAGGTTAGTTCTTATCTCCTTTACTAGCTAAACTAGCAAATACACAAGACGGTATAACATTTGAAATTAATATACGTCCTAACTGCGATTAGTTAAACGACAGATTAATAGCTTACAACAGACGTCAGTTGCAACGAAAGCTGCAACTGATCATATCAGGTCTAGTCTTCGCACGGATAGGATCAGGAGCTGGCTTTGTCCCCCAAATCCATCTACAAATGCCAACCACGCGAGGACGCTCCGCCATAAGGGGACAGGTGCGTGGCTCCTAGAAAGCCCTATCTTCAAGTCATGGCACTCGGGGTCGCGTCGGCATTTGTGGCTGCACGGGCTTGCGGGATGTGGGAAGACGGTCCTTAGTACGACTGTGCTTGATTATCTCGCGAAGGGAAGCGATGGTCTTATCCTGATCTTCTTCTTCTTTGACTTTGGCGATTCCACAAAGCAGACATGGGATGGCATGCTGCGGTCTTTTGCTTTCCAACTTTACCAAGGCGAGGTGGGCTCTGCTGCTCATCTAGATACTTTATTTAAAACACACCAGGATGGCAGCAGCCAACCTACGACAAAGGCGCTTTCGAATATTGTTTTCAAGATGCTCTCAATCGATAGAAAGGTTTCTATCGTTCTAGATGCATTGGATGAATCAAAAACAAGAAATGATGTCCTTATGTGGATCAAGGAGGTGATATCTAGGCCGGAGTTGTCCCACATCCAGCTACTTTATACCAGTCGACCTGAGTCCGAGTTTCAGCGTTATATTCCCCCTTTGATAGGCGAGGATAACTGCCTATCACTTGAGAAGCAGGCTATTAACTCTGATATACGATCGTGGGTAACGGCACAACTTTCTCAACGACGAGACTTTACAGAGAATCACTTGTCCCAAGATATTCTCGAGAGGATCCGGATAAAGGTTGGCGACGGGGCCGACGGGATGTGAGATGTTCCTACTTCGATTAATATACCGATATTTTACTAACGCCCTACTTAGGTTCAGGTGGGCATTCTGTCAATTAGAAAGCCTAGCTCGATGTCCTCACGAGGCAGCTATTGAGGAAGCTCTTATATCTTTGCCGCCGGATCTAAATTCAACATACCAGCGTATGGTTGCAAGTATACCGACAGAGCTGAAAGATGACGCGATACGTCTCCTACAATTCCTAGTGTACTCTGACCGACCTCTCACGCTGGCCCAAGCTATAGAAATAATAGCGACACAGATCAAAAATGAGTCACAAGGCTTTAACATCAAGCGCCGACTATTTCGCGAGATTGATATTATCAAATACTGTCCCGGCCTAGTGATAGTCGTTCAAGGTACCGCCAAAGAGCTACATCTTGTCCACTTTTCCGTCAAAGAATACCTTCTCGGAGAGAATCATTTCGAGAGTACGACTGCCAGCATTTCCATAACAAAGACGTGCTTGGTGTATCTTACAGATATCACGGGTAGCAACAGAGAGATTAGGCGGGATTTTCCGATGGCAAGGTATACGGCAGAACTTTTGATAGGCCATGCTGCGTTGGCTCAGGCTTCCAATGATATAACTCGACTGACAGTCGATTTTCTTAAAAAGGAAGCAACATTCCAACGATGGACTCGTTTATGTCAGGCTGATTGGATCTGGGATGATAACCCTGGTCCTCCGCGAGGCTCCAGGCTCTACTATGCTTGCTTGCTTAGGCTCGTAGCACCGGCACAACATCTTATTGCTGAGGGAGCAGACGTCAACGCACAGGGCGGTAAGTACAGCAACGCTCTCCAGGCCGCATCAGCTGAAGGGCATCAAGAGATTGTCAAGCTTCTTCTAGACAAAGGAGCAGAAATCAACGCGCAGGGTGGCACCTACGGTAACGCTCTCCAGGCCGCCTCAGCTAGAGGCCATCAACAGATTGTCATACTTCTTTTAGACAAAGGAGCAGATATCAACGCGCAGGGCAGCACCTACGGTAACGCTCTCCAGGCCGCCTCAGCTGGAGGTCATCAAGAGATTATCAAGCTTCTTTTAGACAAAGGAGCAGGTATTAACGCGCAAGGCGGCCGCTATAGTAGCGCTCTCCAGGCCGCCTCAGCTAAAGGCCATCAAGAGATTGTTAAGCTTCTTTTAGACAAAGGAGCAGATATCAACGCGCAGGGCGGCCGCTACGGTAGCGCTCTCCAGGCCGCCTCAGCTAGAGGCTATCAAGAGATTGTCGAAACGCTCCAAATATCAGGCCGGCCTTCAAAGCGGTCCGACTCTAGGACTCCAACCAAGCCGGCGAAGAAGATTCGTCTGATGGACTTTGAACCTCATGATCAAACTCAATAACTCGTGAAATGGCCTTCACCGTGTTGTCCACATTTCGTCTAGCTTTAGGCCTCATCAATACTATCACTTCGCGGATTCTAGGTGTGGCTAATTAAAATTACGATAACCCCAGAAAATTGATACCTCTTAGTAGCAGTCTCTAGTTAGTTATTAAACTAATCTGGATCTGATGACACCCTCCTTGTCAAGAGAGGATCATGTCGAAGTGCGTGGTGTAATGTGGGATGTATTGAGTAGAGAGTTGTAGAAGCTAGGTTCTACAGAACTATGAAATCTCACACCCCCCACAAATATGAAACCATGGAGCTGAGTCCCCCCACGAAGAATTAAACCTAGTCGTTGAAAAGGTTGTTGTAGCGTACGATAGGGTTGCCAAGAAAATTGTTAGCTGTAGTAGGCTTGTTGGTGGGAGTAGAAAGCATTCTGATCGGGAGTTACGTCGAATGGAGAGGTACTTGACGAAGGTGAGGTGCGTTGAATGGGGAGTCACTTGGTGTTGTACATTGTAGGAGAGGTACTTGATAAGGTTGAAGTGAAGTGACCGTTGAGGTAAAGTTAGATTCGCCGGTGAGAAAAGAGACGAGCTTTAAGAGCTTTGGCTCTGCGAACCTAGTTGTTGAAAATATTTCGAGAGTATGGCATGGTCACCACCAAGCCAGCTGTAGTTGGTGACTTCGCAAGGTTGAGAAGGTCATCAATGGGGCATTCAGTTGAATAGAATTTTCAGAGTGTAGTATGCAGTCCTTTTATCCCTCTAATTGTTTCAACTGTGTACCATATATATACTCTCTAAGTGTATTTAATTGACACTTTACAAGAGTATGCTTTGTATACCTAAATTGAAGCATGTCAAATTGAAGTATATACAATTGGAAGATATACCAGTTTAGAGAAGAGAGATCATCTTATGTAGGTCCCTAATTATATATAGAAAGAAAAGTCTCTTACACAAAACAAAGTATGCTTTTTTTTTCCCCTCCACATATATCTAAAAAGATACCCCAAAAGACCATCTAAAAAGACCATCTAAAGGCCGCAAACTTAGCTGACTATTCTTGTATAGAAATAAAAGAGAAGTTGAAAATAGTATACAACGGTGGTCCCAATAGTCGCCCGTAGGCCATGAGACCCATAATCGATTATATTCATAGCCGCAGCGACACATAGTTCGACATCACAGATGCATGTCCAGGAGTTATAACACAGGCAATGAATTATCCTTTGCTCTTTATGCCAATTACTCAAGCCATCATGGTAAAGAACTTCCACATCTTCGGCAAAGGGATATCGTTCAGTGTTTCACCCACCATCCACAGCGCAGGCTTCCAGCACTATGTTCTTCCCTTTACCTATACAATTCACGAGTCCAACAGCATTGACGAAGCTGTTGTATTAATTAAGCGATTCCTTTTGGTGGATTGAGCGTCACAGTGCCACATAAGCTCCAAGTCCACAAGTTCTGTGACGAGCAAATCAAGACTGCCCAATTAATCGGCGCAGTCAACACTCTCACTGTCAAAGGGAATGACAGCGAGCAGAAAATCATCGACGATAACGCATATTGGTCTGGCCTGTACAGTATTGTGACTGAACACTCGACAAAAAACAACATCAACCCAGCACCTGACTAGTGATCGGGCTGGAGGCGCACCAAGAGCCGCACTCTATGCTCTGCACAAAGCTAGAGTGAAACGCATCTATCTTGTTAATCGAACCTTAGCCACCACAGAGAAAGTCAAACACGATTTCAAGTCTGTTTTCGAGATCAAGGTTGTCCCAGGTCTCCAAGCTCTTCCAAAGAAGCCGGAAGTCGTTATCGGCACTGTGTCCGCATATACGACTACAGAAGATCAGTTCTCTTTATTGTTTAGTAATCGAAGTTTGTGTGTCGATGTGTCGTACAAGCCAAGGCAGACGCCGCTTTTGACAGCAGCACAGCAGAATCAAGGGTGGGACACGATTACGGGTGTGGAGGTACTTCTCGCACAGGCATTCGACCAGTTTCTACTCTGGACGGGACTTGAGCCGCCGAGGGAGATTATGGCGGAGGCAGTTGTGGTGTTTGACGACCGGGTTACTATGGCTAAAGGTGGTATGCTTTAGATTTGAAATTTAATACGCTAGATTCGGAAGAATTGACAGGTATAATATGCAATTGCATGTTTGAAAACACTACATAACACACCGGTCAATTAGTGCTTGACACGAGAAATCCTACTCGGGTGATTGGATCATTTGGTCGAATAGATTGGGTGTTCGGCTATTTAGTCCATTGCTTTTGTGTCAATCGATCTTCCTCACAACACTAAGATTCCCCGAGGGAAATTGGCAACTCACGCTGTGTCTTCCATTCTGGTAACCCGCAGATTGTCGAAGATCCAATTGGCTTGGGCCTTTGATAGATACATCGCCCTTGGGACATTCGATTACCCCAATCGCGGATTTCCTGCTCCAAGATGGGCAGGTTATGACAGTTCACTGGAAGCCATCCCGTAGCCGTAGGCTGGATCAGTAGTGCAAGGACGTTCAAAACCCAGAACTTGCTGTTGCTACTTCTTCCGGGGCAGTTGAGACTGCTGTCGTATGACCTTATTACCCTGTCGACGAATGCATGCAAGGGACGAGTGATATCGGCGATACGGAATAGGCCCGTAAGAAGTGGGGTGTTGAAGATTCCACCAGTATACTCATGCTCGGGTCTCAGTCCAGATCTTGTATCTACGACGTGGTATACCATTCCTCCAACGGTGTCCGAGTGGAGGTATAGACCCCAGTAGAACTCATTGGGCTCGGGTGGTTCCTGACGGGCTTGCAGAATGACATACAGTCCGCCGACTTTGAGATCGGCAAAAGACATTTGAAGTTGATTGGCTGATGCTCGGGGTTTTCAACGTTGGGCTTGTTGGCAGGTTGCTTCGTCTGCTTGGGCGTTGGGTAGGCACGAGTTGGGTCGCGCTCATCTTATTTTCACAACGAAGACATATTTTTTACGGTGATTTCTTCAGAGTCGGGTACTTAAATCTCCGACAAATTGGACACGTTGTGTTAATTGTCTCTGCTCATGTGCCCAGGCACTTGTACCCCCATGATCTGTTGCACGTCGAGCGGGATTGGTGATGCCTTCGGTCTCGAGTCAAGTCAAGTGTGATTCGGTCTTTTTCTTAGCCGACAAGTGATTCCGGGGTATCTGTCCGGTTTTTTATCTCATGGGGCAGCTGCAATCCCGAGTTCACGTCCATTGATCTGATTGATAATCTGCACAAAGGCACTCTACGTGGATGGTTCTCTGCGCCTATGAACTTCAATTTGCACTTGGCCGTTGGCATGATATATGTCAATCTCTCCACACTATGTAAGTATATGGTTTGTTGGTTCTAGGGACTTACTTTAGTCGGTGACACGTTTGTGTGACTTGGCAGGTAGGTTTGTCACTAGATATTGGACAACGCCTACCAATTGTTTTTCCTATCACATCACATCGCTTTGTGCGGCTCATTATCAGTCTTCTCATCATGAACTTATTGTAGTTCTTCCTAAGCGCTGCCTCGAAAACAGTCCCTCGTATCACCTACCGGATGCTGACAGATGCATGATCACCAGAGTCATGATCAATCACAGACCGTGCGTCCGTTTGACGGGTCATATCAGGATCAGCCCACTTTACAAATCAAACGGATGCACCGGGGCAGCCTTATTATCAAATCGGGCCTTCTAAGAATAATCTATAGAATACAACACTGAAATTTCAATGCCGACCAACTAACAAAGTAACGTCAGAATTCAATGTCGGCTCTTTTCCAACCTTGAGGCATTTGTTCGAGTCGATCATGCATAATCGTTCCCAGCGCATACTTGGGATTGAGTTCTGTTCATCCATGGGAAAGGAAGCAACAGAGTCACGCCTAGGTCAAGACAGGCATCGCGCCCGGGGAAGAACCGTGGACAAGACAGAAAATCGCGCAAGGAGTTTTTCGAAGGTTTTTAATTTTTTTGCTTTGATAAAGAGTCCAAGAGTATGAAAATATGGCGGGTGAAGCATGTTATAGACAATTATCCAGAGATGGTTCAACGCCCAAATGTGACTCTGCACAATCCTGCGGGGCCGGATCCAAGTCCCAAGCCGCGGGGTTTGTGCCTGTCAGAGCTAAGATAAGCAGATCGTAAGCAGCGGCTCACTTCAAATATAATGAGCCTAGGAGAACATAAAAGAAGAATTATGGAAAATGATATGGATCTAATTCCCGATCTACAGCTTTTACATCGGTCAAGAAAAAAAAAACGGCGCCGAATGTAGGGCATATGGTGATCGTGGTGAAAAATGAACAGATCGGCGTCAATGGCTCCGATGATTTGTATGTGATGGGGTTCCAAGGACGTTGACAAGAGTAGGAATTTTCCGATGTATCCAATCATCAAAAGTGACAGAGGTGATTGTGTTGCGGCGGGATGATGCAATTATGCAAGGCGGGCGTCTACTGCAAGCCATCCAGGCGTATAAGAAAGCCAAGATGAATATGCGGTGTCGAGTAAACCATACAGACTGTTGGTTTTGGTGCCCAACCCTCATTTGAATTGTTATCTGAATGATTGTTTGTTATTTCTTAACCCAGTCTATTATACAACGTACAGAGTACTGGACAATATAGGTGGACATTGGAGGCCAATGCCCTAAAAGCGCCAAAGAGGGACCCATCTCCACCGGGACGGCAGATCCACTCTGGAGGAACGAACTGGACTTCCTAACTTCTGTAGGAGTGGTACTCCGTACATGTGTAGCCGATAGACAATATAGAGAGGTAATTGGTAATTTAGTGTAGATTGCGAGTAAAAGGAGAAGGCATAAGATAATCTCCGCTATATATTGCCAATTGCACGTTCCTTAATGGGGCCGTGGCTTAAGCCAATCAATTTCCTGGTAGAGATACAATTTAGTAGCGTACCAAAGCCATATATATTAACACGAATTCAGAAGCTAAGAAAGGAGAAGTTGAGGAAATCACAGGGCGACAAGACTGTTATATAGATTAGACTGCAATATGAACAACAACCAAAGAACCCTAGAACCCTAGAATCTTCCTACAACATAGAGAGAGAGGAAGTCGTAGAGAGAATAATAAAAATAAAAAGAGCAAAGTAAATATAAAAGCAATCTAGCACCACTCAATGGCGCGCATGTCCCCTTTTCCTGGCCCAATCACCATTTTCTCCCCACTATCTCCTGAATTTCCCTTTTGCCCCTTCTCTCTCCCTTCTTCGATTCTGTCTTCTCTAGAACAAAAAAAGAAACAAGATCACTATTGTCTTTTTTTAATTATTTTAAATCTTTTGTTTACCCCAGAACTTAAGATTTGAACTAAAGAAGATTCTCCAAAAAAGGAAGAAGAAGAGAAGAACCTTGGAAGCTCCCCGTTTTCTCCATTTATTTCTTCCCGCCAGTTCCAACCTCCGAACTCTCCCCCTAATTCTCCCTTTGTTTTTTTTTTAACTTAGTGGATTTCGCTTTAAATTGTTCGGCGATTCCTCTCTGACCGACTTGATATCTCTTTTCCGTTTTATTTTCTTTACTTGAATCATAATGGCTTCAAAGGTGAGATTATCTAATGTGCTCCTCGAGTCAGACTGGTTCTCGACATTTCCCAATGGCTAACCCCGTATTTATCAGTTCCTAAGAGAATACAAGCTGGTGGTTGTCGGCGGTGGTGGTGTCGGAAAGTCTTGCTTGACCATCCAGCTGATCCAGAGTCACTTCGTGGACGAGTACGATCCAACAATCGAAGGTGAGCACCTCCAAAGCCGCCCCCAAGTTTCATCAGCCGCGCGGATCGTGTCGCGTTTTCCCAGGGGTTCCGGACCTCAGTTAAACAACAAAGCTGATTCGGAATCTTCTTCCGCCTACAGATTCCTACCGCAAGCAGTGTGTGATCGATGATGAAGTCGCTTTGTTGGATGTCCTGGATACAGCAGGCCAGGAGGAATACTCGGCTATGCGAGAACAATACATGCGAACCGGAGAGGGATTCCTGCTCATCTACTCCATTACGTCGCGCCAATCCTTCGAAGAAATCATGACCTTCCAACAGCAAATCCTGCGCGTCAAGGACAAGGATTACTTCCCCATCATTGTTGTCGCCAACAAGTGCGATTTGGAGAAGGAGCGTGTGGTCTCCGAGCAAGGTATGTCTTCCATCTCCACATCCGGACTCTCCTGAACTCTTTTCCCGACCTCTTCCTTTGAGAAACTCCAAACCGAATCCCCAATTCCGTGGCTAACGATTCATCGCGTACAACAGAGGGCGAAGCGCTCGCCCGCCAGTTCGGCTGCAAGTTCATCGAAACCTCCGCCAAATCCCGCATCAACGTCGAGAACGCCTTCTACGACCTCGTCCGCGAGATCCGTCGCTACAACAAGGAGATGTCCTCGTACCCCTCCGGCTCCGGCGCGTTCGGCGCCCGCGCACCAGAGGGCAAGATGGACGTGAGCGATCCGGCCGAGGACGCCGGTTGCTGCGCAAAGTGCGTGATCATGTAAAAAAAAAACACACCAACATACCAAAATGATCCGAATCGCTGCGATGTCCTCGAATCTCGAAACAAAAACCCCCCGAATCCGAAATACACAGCACATGTCGGGAAGAGTTACGGGAAGGATTTATATGTCCAAGGTGGTGCACACCCTTGGAAAAGTTGGATATCTTGTTTACCTTTGAATGGCCTTAATCTGCAACCCCGCCACTCAGATCACAAATAGGAAATACGGAGACTGCAAAAAGATTGCAACCTCGACAGAACAGAAAAACAACCAAACCAGAAAAAAATACCAAAGAAGAAGTGGCATTGTCGTTTGTGTTACGGATGTTTGTGGGTTCTTCAATGGACTCGCATTCTTGATGACTGCCGACCTTGACGCCCAACCTCGTCTCACGAAACATTTTGATTCCCCTTTNTTTAGTTCTTTTTTTTTTTTTTGTCTTTTTAACTGTTCAAGTCTTTGCGAAAGATCGGTGTTTGTTATCTATCGCCTCTTATTATCATTATCCTTGTCGCTCCCACGAGACGACACGGCTGTCAATATATGTTCTTTCATGGCAAGGTGGATTCCTTGC